CCTACTGTAGATTGACCGTTTTTGGCACTATTTTCACCCTCTTGATCCTCGTTTGACAGGTGGCCCGAATTCGGACCACCTGTAGATTGTCCGTTTTTGGTACTATTTTCACCTGTTTTTGCCAGGTGTTCGATCACTTCTTGGGCTTGTTGATTTCGTAGGTAATTCTTGAATAGCTTGTTTGTACCGTGCTTCTCGTTGTACTGTCGCAGCAGATCAGAGACAAGGTACATGCGAATACCATTATCAAGGCACATACGAATCTTGTAGTCGTAGAAGACAATCTCTTCGAATTTCATTTCTATTTGTATTTATGTATTGAATTCTTTTAAGTACAATAGTTACAGAAGGGGACACGTAGTGCCCCCGGGGAAGCTTGGGAGGCTTTGCCTCCCCCTACAACCTCTGGATAGCTGGGTCAACAGCGTCGTGCGTGTACAAGTGAAGGAGTGCCAGGTAGCCACAGTTGTTGGCAAAGATCGACTGGTATTTCACTTTGTTCACACGGAACACACGGTTCGTACCTGCCAACGGGAAGTCATTCATCTCGCCAAAGCTGTCCTGGTAGTTCAGCGTGCCATCGGGTTCGCGGAAGCAAGACACGAAGTGGCCGAGGTTGCCATTGTTTTCAAAGGGTATCCAGATGATGCAATTCGCTGGTTCTTTGTACTTCTTGGCCAGTCTCTTGTACTTGTCCAATTCCATCACATCGAAGTCGGGTATCTCGAGTTGCTTGGCCAGTTTTCGAACTTCATCGAAAGTCATTGGTTCAGCATCCACATTCATGTATCCATGCTTATATAACCTCTTCAGTACACTCTCCTTCGAATCACTGACTTCTTTATCTTGTTCTCGTTCTGTGGAAGGGCTGTGAGGATGCGATTCTTTTTTTTCGTCGGGACTTCAATTGCTTGTGTCTCGTTGTCCAGGTCAGAAATATCGTAACCAGTGCCGGCTTTGCTTTCCTTTCCCTGAATCTGGTTTGCGACGTCTGCGATGCCATCCTTTGCCATGTCACCTATCACATTCGCGAGCTGCTTCACGGTGTCCGATCCTGTCTTGTTGCTCACATAGTTCACACCCTTGTTGATCGCGTTGTTCGCGGCATTCGTGCCAGCATTTACCAGGATATCGGTGATGGGTTTTAACTTGTCGGCATTGTTGTCGTACCAACCTTTGATCTTGTTCCAGGCATTCTTGAAGAACGTGCCAACACGACTTGAACCGGCGTACAAGGCTCCACCTCGGACTTCGATGTTTTTACTTTGTCGTTCGATGGCTTTCATGGTCTTCAACACGTCGTCGTAATCGCTAGGGTTGATTCCATTGAGGAACACAGCAGAAGCTCCTCCGAATTTGAGTGCACCTCCCTCCTTACCCTTCACTAGCTCTTTGAGACTCGAGATGATCTGTGGAGCCATCTGAATGAGCGCTGGGATGATCGTGGCAGCGAGAGTACCAAGTGCCCCACCTTTCTTGAGTCCGGTCAGCTCGTTCATCAATTGCGCTTCATTGAATGCCAGTGCTCCGCCTGGTTTACAACTTCCTCCTGAGTTAACATCGTTGAAGCCAATGGCTCCACCGGTGTCCTTGGGGGAGGCAACAGCGTTGCCTCCCGGGCGACCAACGGTCGCCCCATTGAAGCCAATGGCACCAGCACTTTTCGCTGGAGCTCGCTTCGGTGATCGTTTCTTGGCTCTCTTTGGTGTGTTGTTTACTGGTGCTTCGAGTTCCTTGTGTAGATTCAATGTCTTGCGTCGATCCACAATCGTTCCACTATCCTGTTCTCGGAAATCGGGTTCGCCATAAAAGGCAGATATATCAACAGTGAATGGAATTGCCATTTATGAATGGGGAAATCGTAGATTTCCCCGGAGCAGCGAAGCTGCTCCATGAAGTCAAAGTGAAAAGAATATTGCCCTTCTTCATTTAGCCATTGAAACCCTGTGTAATGAACATATCCTTGATCGTGTTGTACGTATTTTGCAGATATTGCTCGAATTGTTGATCTACATTGACAGCAAACCGTTTGATCTTGTTTTTCATGTAGTTCAAATAATCGAGAGTTAGATCCTTACTATTAGCTACTCGTATGAAGAAACTCATCAGTTCGGAGTCTTCATTTCGATCACGATAAGCCCTGAAGAGACGTGAGAATCCAAGGTCATTTGCAAATTGAGCGAAAACAGGATTGTTGAAATTGCGAGCAAGCAAACTTGAGAAAGCAATGAAATCTTCGCGAGTATCATCGCTTTCCCAACTTTCCTTGGTGTCATTAGAATCTTTACTTTCATACGCGTCAATCAAGGCTGCAGCTCGATTCACTTGATCGATTGCTTGAGGTGTGAAACTAGCATTTACACTTTCAGATTGACGACCGTCCAGTACAATCACAGGTTGAATTTGTGGCTGATTCCGGAAATATTCATATGATTGCCAAATGGCATCCATTAAGTTCTGGATTCCTCTCATATTCTGCTGATACAATTGTTGATATAATTGTTCCCGGGACAGCTGAGTATCAGCAAAATGATTACTCATTGTAGTAATCAGCTGACCAGTTTGAGCATGTCCATCAACAACTGCATTACCAACATTTGTCAACAGGTTGTTAGTTTGAGTCTGATTGTCAGTGAGTTGATTAACAATTGCACCCGTAGAATCTTTGATTAACTTGGTTGTTTGAGCTTGTCCTTGTTCATATTGGTTGCCCAGAGCATTCGTACCATCCAATAGTTGTTTCCTAGTTGCCTTTCCCTCTTCTGCAACCGCATTACCAAGAGCTATCAGATTCTGATTCGTAGTCTGCAACTCATTTGACACGTTTTGAATCAAAGGTGTGAATGTATTGAATGATTCAACCAACCGTTTGTTGATTTCATCATATGCTTTTGCCAACTCAGCAGATACAAATTGCTGAATGAAGCTGTTTCGCTCTAGCCATTGTTTCAAGAAATCATTGTACTGCGCCTTCATGAACTCTGTCAATCCATCAATTCGCATTTCACTTTGTGTTGGAATCAATGCTTGGATATCAGCAATTGCAGGAGGATCAGGTTTGTTTTCAATTCCTTGGAGACGAGCTTCGACTCCTTGCAGATATCTATTACTCTCCTCAATCACAGCCTTCTGTTGATTTACCAAGTCACCAATTTTCTGGATCAAATTGTCGTCTCCTGTTGCAATGCTTCTTGCCACTTCAGCATACTTATCACTCAACGACTTGATTCCATCGTTCGTATTTGTCAATTTTGTTTGTACACCTTCCAACAATTCTAACATCTTAGGATAACCCTTGTCCTTATCTTCCAGGAAATTGATTCGTTGTGCTACATAAGCTATTGCATTATAAATATTGCCAAGGTTCACCTTAATATCAAAGCTCTTCATCACAGTAATCACTTCATCCAACTTCTCGATAATGGGCTTCACATCCATCTGTTGTACGATCTGATTCGTCACATTCAGAGGTTGTTGTTCAGGTTTGATCAACCACCGATCACGTTCAACGCGACCTTCAGCTACCAAATCTCTATATTTCGTACTACCTCGTTTCGTAGTGTGTGTCACACCTCTTTTATATGCCGTAGTATTATCGTCATTCCACAGCAGGACATCTCGATTTGGATCACCTTGTTCTGTCACATCGTCTCGCAAGCCAGCAAAATCATTGATAATCGCTGCATTCTGTTGAGTAACTGTGTTGATACTATCTCCCATCTGTTGAGCTGCAACCGTTATGGCATCAGCAGCATTCTTCATTTCGTTGATGCTAGTTCCAAGATCACCAGTTATATTCACGATTTGTGCATCGCCAACCTGTGATCTCTGGTAGCGGATACGATAGGGTGATACTGGTTCATATCCAAATGGATTATCAAAGATAGCTCGTTTCTCCATGTCAGACAACTTGTGATTCACAGACTGGACAATGATCTTGTTGAACTTATTGTCAATTTTAGCATTGTAGACCACATTGTCCTCGAATGAGTACAACAGTACGTTCTCATCGTCAATTCGCTGCATTTGATATCCACGCATGTCAGAGACGGATACACGGCGACGTTCAGCGGGTGAGAGATTCATGTACGAATCAAACAAGGTTCGCTTTTGTCGCCATTGTTCGCTCCTCATTCGCTGTTGATTGAATTCACTTTCAACGACTTTATCGAAATAACGATTCAACATCTTGTCCATCATGTTTCTCGACTTCACTTTGTGTGGCTTGTATCGAATGATTGGAATTGTAGCAACGTATTCATCCATTTACTATGGGAGGAACAATGTGGGGCGACTTTGCCGTCTCCCCTACTTTACTTTGGTGTAACAAGATATCGTGAATGAGATGTACACATTCGAATTCAAGGAGATCGGACGGTCATTCGCGTCTGTCAGTACCCAATCAATGTAGTCCAGGTTCGATTGTTCAATCACATCGATCGATAGGTTGTCCCAGGTGATCATGTTGTTCAGTCCCATCGATACATGAATCAGGTTATCGATCAACGGACTCTTGAGACCGAATGTTTGAGCATTGATACTACTGTAGACTCGGATCACACTCATGCCATTCGTGATGTCGTAGGGTTCACTCGCTACCATTCCTGCCTCAACGATACCTTCCAACTTGAGGATACTCGTGTAATCAGGTGCGCCACTAAGGTCAACAGCGGTCGCCACGTCACTGTTCAAGTATGCTCGGTTAACATCGTCTACCTGGATAGAATCGGCTATCGCACGGCATAACTCGGTAATCGAGTAGTAGCCAGGACCGACGTTGTAGACCATTTCAAACCCTGACAGCATTTGAACCTTCACCACATTCATTGCACGAATGTTCCAGAGAGAAGTGGTATCGATCTTGCATGTAATCGAAGTGATCTTGTACACAAGGTCACGAGGCATGATCACTGTGTTGAACGTTTCATGGTATCGTTCGTTGTTCTTCGGAATTACTGTATTGTGGTTAATCACACTTACCGGTAGTGCACGATTATGACTCATTTATTGTGTAGAACATGGAAGTGAATGCACACTGTAATCGGCATTGGCAGGGCAATCGTTGCACCGGTCTTATCGGTCAACGAGAATGACCATTTGCGACTTTTGGGAACCACGATGTTCATGTGTGCATTCTCCGTAAATTCCTCGTTCAATACAACCAACGGAGACTGTCGTCGTTCTTGCATGTTGTTCACTCGATCAAGGACAAGGCAGGTGCCAGGCGATTCTCCCTTCATAGTCACTCTGTCGATTACCATGTCGCTTTTGATGAGATTGTTACTTGTAAATTCATGTTCGTACGTTCGAGCAATGTTGAACACTAGATTCATTTATTATTTCCTCCTGAAACGGTGAATCCGATTAGCAGGTACACGTTCCCAATGAACGATAGCGGGTCACCATTTTCGTCCTTCAGTTCGTACACGATGCGATCAAGCAATTCAGAACATGGTACCAACATGCGATTCTTGTAGAAGTAATTCTTGTACAAGCTGTCCATCGGGACATTCGCAAGCAGTGGTATCGTCTTGCTTTTCACGATGTTGCAATACAGCTGTATGTTCGATAGACCGTTCGTGATATCGACAGGATACTCGGCAACCATCGGACCATAGTTGGCATAGTACACACCATCGTCGAAAGGGATACGCCATGTATGCGATTGCGATCCTGAAGCGGGAACGATGGTTCCCAGGTTACCACTCAACGAGAACACGTAGTCTGCGTGAATGTAGTACCCATCTGTCTCAGCTTTCCATCGTATGTTCAGTGTAGCCGAGTCAAAACACTGGTTCATGTGCCATATCATGTCAGCCTGTGTCAACCGTGATGGTATGGTCCACGTGAATGTCTGAACGTCATCTGTGTACGTGATATCAGTCTCGGGGGAAGCACTGCTTCCCTCTTCGTCCAGTGTCATCATTCCGTACGGGAAGCGAATCGTCGTGTTAGCCGTGTACGACTCAGATTGTTCCCAGTCAACGAAGGTAGCCAATGATGGAACAACAAGTTCATCATTCCTCACATAGTGGGGCAGCGAAGCTGCCCCGGGGAAGCTTTGCTTCCCCACATACGTAACACGTGTCGGTTGTATGAATTCGATCGACACAGCACGATCGGAATACGTACTACCTTTGATCATATTCGTCACATTCAGTCCATCGATGTTTGCCATCGCAAACTCGTAAGGTGATGTCAACTCGGGCATCCTGATGTAGTAATTGCGATAAAACTCGAAATAACAAGACAAATACACACCACCTGGTTCAGCGTATGGTCCGGGTATAATCTTGAAACATGGATTATCACAAAACAATATGAATCGTGGTTCTGTACCATTTCGACATCCCATTCGTACTCGACCACCATTATCTGCAATGACATATACCAAGTACCCTCCGAGAGATGCATCTACATATATCTTATTGATCACATTAGCGATCATATTCACGATATCAATAGCGCTATAATGACCTCGTTGGATTGTGAGAGGTCTTTCGCCATATCCACGTATTCCAAGTATAAAATTCGTCGTATCGATAAACACTTTCGTGTGATATATACTATCCTTGGAATACCAAGGTCCGATCGAAGAACCATTCGATGACACCAAGTCACCTGTATTATCCGATGTGATATGCAATTCCAATTCTGGTGCATAGTCCTTCGCAGTCCATGACATGCTTTCTCTATTGTCATTCACCGTCCACGCAATCGCATTCTGGTGAGATGGAGGTAGTTCCATAGCACTCGCATATCGAGCATTGAGTTCATTAATACATGTGGTTGTAAGAGTATTCATCTTGATCGGGGTAGACGTATCGTCCGTTATGTAGAATTCACCACTATCGAGTACTGAGCCATCAGCTAGGCGCATCGTGTATGTCGCGAGAGGCTTTAGCAGGAACCGATTATCATTCGTACGCATTTTCCAGTCATACGCAATGAAGGTGTTTGATCCTATGTATGCATGACCACCAATACCTTGATCATTCGTCATATCAGGAGGGGAATCGCTTTCAGGGTTGAACGAAGCTTCCACTGGTCGTTCGATGCACAGATTGCGTACCGTTGATGCCAATTTGAACCCGATGGAGTCCAACCAAAACCATCGATCGTCGTGTCAACACTGGATCGATCGAAATACCATCCGTCTGCTTGGACATTGAAGCGAACATGATCATTCTCGATCGTCATGGATATGAGAGGAAGCACTTTCACCATCTCAGCACCGACAGCCTCGATGAACTCGGAGAACGTGTAGTAACCGACAGGCAATGTCAACATGTGCGAGACAGTGCCATCAGTAACAACCACGTGATTACACGAGGAAGACAGGTAGTAGCGCTTCGGGTTATCCACTCCTTTCACCAAGATGTCCGATTCGAAACCAAGGATTGACCTGATCTCTGGTGCATTCGTGAAATCAATCATGTAGAAGTGATCTACCGTGATGTGGAACGCATTCTCACCGCTATACACCAATTCGAACAGGGCATCACTTGCATTCAGCTTTGCAATGATCGTTTCGATGTCGTATGCACCGCGTGGTATCGTGATCTCTTGAATCGTAGCGCCAGCATTGATTAGCACCATTTGATCAGTCGGCACGTTGTGCAACACGAAGTCCGTATACAACGACACAGACGAGATGTAGCACTGGTCGAACGAGAGAGGATTGCCCAGCTTCACTTCCTTCTTGGTGGTATTACCGAACACTTCCATCATACTGAACTGGTTTGCAGAGACAATCGTTGGGGGTGACATCGTCACCCCCGGGGGAAGCGAAGCTTCCCCCATCGATGAAGGCACTTCCTCCATCACGTCCTCAATCGTCAACTGGAGTTCGAATTCGCCGTTCAATCGCATCATCTTGCCATCCATATCGCGGAATACGAACATCAATTGATCAAACCGAGTGATCATTGGAATACACACGTCTTCCACAGTTCGCACGTAGTCAGCCGTTGGATTGTCAATGATCATCGTGGTGAGCAGGTTGTTGTTCTGGTTGGCAATCTTCAAGTCCGATGATCGCACGATCGTCGAGTAGACCTGGATCACTTGTCGATTTCGCGTGATATCAATCACGTTCGATCCACTGAACGAAGCAGGTAGAATGACCGTTCGTCCATCGAAGCCGAGGATCTCACAAATGTCAGGTGCATCTGTGAAGTCAATGGTGTGTGGAGACTGAATCCAAATACAACCGAACGACGAGGCATTCGTCGATATGGAGAATGTAGTATCGGTCATGGTATTGAGCAAGGCAATGATCTCACTGATCGTGTAATAACCAGCAGGGATTGTCACAGTCTCATCATTGCTGTTAGTAATCACATTCGTCGTGTCTACGTTATTAAACATCGAACCATTAGGATGAAACAGGACAGTCATGGAAGTGATATAGGGATTCTTGTACTTGTACGGATTAACCCATGTAAATGAGCCGTTGGTAGGTGAGCCTTGAATAAGCATGGAGTAGTGCATGGTCTTTCTCTCTTTACCTTAGTCAACAAGACAATGGGGAGGAATCGAAGTCGTCCCTCGTTGTCCCCATCACATCCATGCATACCATGGCCTACAATGGAAGTCAGGTTAACATTGGCCGAAATTGGCCGAAATTGGCAGCCATGGGTTTCCGCGCGTTTCTTGTTATGGACATCGAGGTGAGCAGGTAGACAATGGCAGAAAATGGCCGAAAAATGATTTCCGCGGTTATTTGGTAGAAAATGGATTTTCGCGTGTTTTCCGCCTTTTCCCTACTACTCTTTGACACTTCGAAGTATGAATGAAATGATTGTAAATGATTTGCTTTATAGATCTTCCAAATCTAACATCCCTCGATTCTCAAGGATCTAGCTTCCGTTATCCTCGTTCAGTGATATTAGAAAGTAAATTAAGATACTGAATATTGATGATATTAAGATATTCCAAATCCACAATATGTAAATCTACCTCGTTCATTCGAGTATATGACATATTCTGTAATAAACAGTAATTATTAATAATATATTCCATTTGACTTTAGATGTTTCTCAATTACTATTTCCTTATGAAATACATAACATTGACTATATTCAATCACTTGATTCTTGCACAACTTCCATTATTATACCTAATTGGACTTGCAGTAATACTGATTTCACGACATTCGATTTCTCTCGATTTACTCAAGTTGAATCAATCGAAATCGGTAATGAATGTTTTGCGTCAGTGCAAACATTCAAAATCGATGGATTGAATCGATTGAAAACTATCGAAATTAGAAACAATTCATTCACTCAGACAAAGAATAGTGAAGGAAACGATGAATCAAAATCATTCCATATATTGAATTGTGAATCATTGGAATCCATTCAAATCGGCCAATTTAGTTTCAGTGATTTTGGAGGCGACTTTGAATTGAAGAATCTACCAAAATTACAATCTATAGAAATTGGTATAATTGGAAGTATTTCTTGTAATTTTTGTCATGTTTCATTTGTGATTCGAGGTATTGATATGATATTGAATATTTGAATGATTAGATCTACCATTATTGCAATCTATCGCATTAGGTGATAATGCATTTCGTGATTCCTTATCAACAGTGATTGAAAGTATGAAATGATTTTAAATGAAATGATTTCAATAGATCTACCATCACTACAATCTATTACACTCGGACTTGAATCACTCTATGGAAGCGATGATGAATCATGTTCTTTGACAATGCGAAGTATGAATGAAATGATTGTAAATGATTTGCTTTATAGATCTTCCAAATCTAACATTCATTGATTCTAAAAGATATAGTTTTAGTAATGTATGTTCGGTTACTCTAGAAAGTATATATAATCAGGGATATTGATGATATTAAGATATTCCAAATCCGCAACATGTAAATCTACCTTGTGGTCTCCTGGATCCTCCATTTATGAGAGTTCAATCAAAATCAGTTTCGAGTATTGTTAGACTGATTTGATTTCCTGCATAGATGTTTCTTCGATTCTCGCGAATCTTATCAAAATCCTACAGTAAATCAATATCATGGATTTGATGTGTTTCTTTCAGTAATTAGTCAGTACCATTGAATGTTATTTGTTATTTCAGACCTTATATTTCTTCACTCTTTTCAGAATGATAGCACTTTACAATAAATAATTATTTGTAGTGTTTCAGTAAAACTCTTGATGCATTCCTGAAAAAAATAAAACCCTGATTATTTAGTCAACCATTTTGTGCGCCCATCTCCATTATCATTCCAAATTTGAGTATACCATATAAATAGGAAAAGCGTGAATTCTAACATAACGTGCTACGAACCTGCCAAATATCAATGAAGAGTGTTGTGAATATTAGTATTATCTAATTTTCTAACCTATTGCTAATGATAAGCACATAATGAGAATGACAGTGTCTACGGCTGTGTTGAGCAAACCATGATTTTTGCAACCTAAAAAGGCAGTTTTTATTTACTTTCACAAATCTTGAGGATGATTTTTTGTAGAATCATCACTTCAATCTACATCACTCAAAATCGTAACTAAAAAACAAACAAACAAGTTATCGACCTGCAGGGGATCTTGAGCGGGCCGTTGACCGCCTGTTACGTCCGTACCTTACGGCCTTGGACTTCACTCACAATCTTCAGAATTCGGTTTTCACTTTGTATATATACAAATTGCTCATGACTCAGTGTTTAATCTCAAATAATAAAATTGAGCCAATAATCAGAATAGTGTTGGTTAGCATGCTATGTACTCCTATTGTTTGAAAGCACGTCAAGAGTGAGTTTTGGCCATTTTAAATTACCCTATTGAATAGTTATAACATTTCATTTCTATAACAAACAACTTCCCCAAGTTTCGTACACTCATTTTATACAAATGTGTCAAATCGTTACTTGGTTGTCGTTTTCTTGTTACCCACATATTATTGCTACATGAAATAAATAAAACCGTTTCCTAATCAATCTGTTTTCCATTGTCCTCTAAATATCAAATTCCACGTAGTGAATTGAACAAAAACTACCAAGCAAAGAAAAGAAAAGTTCAAATTCTTCAAATTGTACAGGGGCTGTTTCAAAATAATCTTAGAAGGGAATGAGTATCCCACTTGGTGGAAACCAGACTGGATACATGGATGCAGGTGTTTCTAATATATGTATTTGTAAGACAAACCGAGGGGGAATCGTCCTTACTTGCAAAAACCCCACTTGCCCTTACAATAACCGCATCCACCCTCAGTGCTTTAATATGAGTGATGATGAGGTGAAAAGAGCTCTCTCATCCAATTAGTAAGAAACACGAATGGGATCAACTTACCATTTAGCTATCTCTGTCCCCATTGTGCAATAAACAGTTATATTTCAGTATGATGCTCAGGCAATGCGTTTTCTGTAGAATCCCCCAAAACGACAGAAAATGAAGAAACAAGATAGTGATGAGGAATTTGAATTTAGTGAGGATGATATGGAAGATATGCCTTCCGAGTTGGCTTCCAGTTTGTGTGTGATTTATAGAGAGGAGTACAATATCGATTCTGGGTCTGATAGTGATACGCCTAGTACTTCGGCAAAAATAAGCCACCACTCCCATTCATTCAAAGGTCATCCTTGGAGTGATAGCTCTGACGAGGATAAACCGTCTCGTGCAAGCAAGGGCCATGTTTCGCCTTCGTTTAAAGAAGAGACAGAAGGTGAGCGAACACGTCGTTCGACTCGCATGTATTTTTTTCTCCAACCTTTGACTTTAGTCGTCGGAGCACGCACGTCAACCAAGGTTTTGTGGAGGAAATAAACCTGGATGACGATGATGATGACGATGACGACGTTTCTTCTACTCGTACCCACAGCACAATTTTCTCTGGAACGGATTCCGGTAGTCAGATCGAGCGTATTTTGGGCCGTCGAGTGCTTCCCGGAACGCCCGAAGCAGAGGAATTGATGCATCGGTCTCGCTTAGCAATTGTAGAGTAGTTTACTCGCGTTTTACTGTAGGGAATTCATGTGAAGGACGAAAAAGAACACGAAAAGCGGAATTTTGACAATTCAGCGTTTGAATACTTAGTGAAGTGGCGAAATAAGTCGTACATGCATCTTAGCTGGCTGAGTTTCGATACGCTAGTACATGATAACCCGCCCCATGGAAAAAGCCGACTTTATCGGTTTGTAAAAATGCTGCCACGTGATGAGGATGGTTTTATCATTGAATACCCTCCCAATACACCTGAGGATCAATACTATAATCCCAATTTCTGTGAAGTGGAGCGGGTTGTAGCATGCAGCCTCGATTGGGATAATGATACGCGTTTTTATTGGCAGCAGGGATGCAGCGAGATTTTAAGTGCTCTATGTGAAGTGAATCAGGGAGGCTATGTGTATTCTGATCCCTTTATGTTGCCCGTGAATGAAGAGCGAGACGGGGCTCCGAATTATTACGCGATTGTGAAACATCCGATGTGCCTAAGCTGGATCATGAAACGTCTTTCCTCGACAGAGCCAGCTCCAAACGGCGACAATCCTTCCGAACGACCCAATGCTCTGACTCCCTATTCTTCAGCCGAGGAAATGTTTGCGGACTTGGAATTGATGTTCCAAAACTGCCATCTCTACAACCGCGATCCCTCTTCGATTATCTTGATGATGTGCGAGAAACTGGAAGAAGTCTATCATCAGAAGCGTGCCGCGTTTGAAGAACGCCAGGCCGAGTTTAACAATATCCAGCTAGCCATGAAGATCGAGGGCGAAGAAGTGAAGTAACAAATAGTCATGCGTGTGAATGGTAGATATCTCGTGAAGTGGTCGGATCTGTCCTACAAAGATTGCACGTGGGAGAGTCCAGAGACCATCAGTGACGAGATGATCAAGGACTATGAAGCGCGGCAAGTGATCGCACCAAGAAAGCTGCAGCCTCTGAAAACGAAAGCAGAGCGAGTGGCGCAGGGAGAGAAATCGATTCTGCATTTTAAAGATAATAAAGTGAGGGCAGATGCAGAAAATCACTTCTAGACGCTGCGTCCTTATCAGTGGGAAGGTTTCCGCTGGCTGAAGGACAACTACAATCAAGGAAAGAACTCAATCCTTGCTGATGAGATGGGTTTGGGAAAGACGATCCAAGTCATCAGCTTGATGGAGCACATTATCCACAAGTTGCACTATCGATGTGGACCTTATTCGTAGTATGGAAACGCAGCAACCGATTCTGGTTATTGCTCCGCTGAGCACGCTGGGATTCTGGCGACGAGAAATCGAGTCTTGGACGACCTTGAATGTGGTGATGTATCATGACAACGAAGGCGGAAAGGATATTCGCCACCTAATCGAGCGATACGAATTCTACTACACGCGCAAGCAATTGCCCGTGCCTCCTCCGTTCCCAGTTTACAAGTTCGATATTCTTCTCACGACATACGAGATCGCCAATACCGATGTCGACGAGCTTAGGAATGTTCGTTCCGCTCAGCGAAATGATGACGAATAGATTCGGTGGAGTCTGGTCGTCGTCGACGAGGCACAGAGGATGAAGAACAAGTCGGGCAAGCTGCAGCAGACCTTGCACCAGATTCACTGGCAACAGTGTGTGCTGCTCACAGGCACGCCGCTGCAAAACAACATGCTCGAGCTTTGGACGCTGCTGAACTTCGTGGCTCCTCAAACCTTCCCTTCGTCGACCGAGTTCCTGCAGCAGTACGGCGATCTGCACAACCAGAGTCAGGTGGCTTCGCTCCAGCGTTTGCTCGTTACGTATGTGCTGCGTCGATTGAAGGAAGATGTGGAAGACTCCATTCCGCCCAAAGAGGAAACGATCATCGACATCGAGCTCACCACGAAGCAAAAGACGTTCTACCGCGCGATCTACGACCACAACCGAGATTTCTTTATCCACGGCTACATCCGGTCGGGGAACGGCGTGTCCAGAGTGTCGGGGAACAGTCGCGGTCCTCGCTTGGTGAGCATGGAGATGCAGTTCCGAAAGTGCTGCAACCATCCGTACATGTTGGAGGGAGTGGAGGAAATGGAGAGCGAGGAGCTGAAAAAGGCGGAGGAAATGGAGTTCAAGGATCTAACGAAGCACCCTCTTGTGCAATCGAGCGGAAAGATGGTGCTGCTCCATAAACTGCTGGGCAAGCTGAAAGCTGAAGGGCACCGCGTTCTCATCTTCAGTCAATTTACTACGATGCTGGACATTCTGGAGCGGTATCTGCGTCTCGCAGGACTCTCCTATACTCGAATCGACGGCTCGGTCCGAGGGAATGCTCGCGAAGAAGCGATCCGGACGTTCAACGACGAGAACAGCAACATGTTCTGCTTTTTGCTGAGTACGCGCGCTGGAGGTGTGGGAATCACTCTCACCACGGCCGATACAGTAATCATCTTCGACTCCGATTGGAATCCCCAGAACGATGTGCAGGCGCAGGCTCGTTGCCATCGGATTGGCCAGACGAAGGCGGTGCGTGTGTATCGCCTCATCACGCGAGGCACGTACGAAGCAGCGATGTTCCAACGCGCTAGTTTGAAACTGGGTCTGGAGCAGGCGGTGATGGCCAACAGCAGTACGTGGCTGTGGTTGTGTGAAGTAACGAATAGGCAGGAAGAACATTTCTGCAGATGTGGTGGAGACACTGCTGAAAGAAGGAGCGTACTCCGCCTTTCTGGAGGATAAGGAGGGCGAGGAACGCTCACGCGTTTTTTGTGAAAGTAACATTAACGAACTCTTAGAGAAGCAGTCGCGTGTGATCACGTACGATAAGAGCTCTGTGACGTCGCTGTTTAACAAGGCAAGCTTCGTGTCGACGCAGTCGGACTCCAAGCTGGATATCAACGATCCCCTGTTCTGGAAGAAGATTTACGGAGAGGACACGCGCGAAACGGTTCTGGAAAGATTGGAAGATGGTCGCGCCACGAAGGACGAGGAGACGAAGGCTGCGTATATCCAGGAGCTCATGACGATGGGCGAGGAGACGATCCAGCAGAAGCTCTCCGGCGAGAATGTTCCGGAGTGGTACCAAGTCCTCCACTCCGCCCTGAAGCAAGTGACCATCATGACCGAGCAGTTCAGCCAGCAAGACCGCGCGAAGGCGCAGCATATGCTTCAGGAAGTCGAGCGACCCAGCCGCAAACGGAAGCATGTCCCCCAGGCCGTGGTTCCCGACGATTCGTACTCGATGAACGATCCCGACTACAACACGAACGGCAAATCGGATCTGGACGACGAGGTGTGCTGCAAGTGCTACCGCGACTATTGTCTGATCCGCTGCACCGGCCCTTGTCGCCGCTGTTTCCATCCGGAGTGTACGGAAAGTAGGGTTGGTCTCGCGTGGAGTGAGCGCCTAGATCCTCCGCTTCGCAAAAAGCGAGAGACGTGGCAGTGCTCGGACTGTCTGAACCATCGCTACACCTGCTGTCTGTGCCAGAAGGAGGGATACGACGCGAACTACTACCAGAAACTCGTCGATGAAGGCCAGATCGAGGAAGGCTCCGACGTGCAGATGCAGAAGATCCGTGCGAAGCGTCGCAAGGCGAAGCATAAGGCCGGTGACGACGACTATGATGCCTACGGCTCCCACTTCTCCTCCCGCGGGAAGAAGAAGCAGAACCCTCTCGTCTACAACCCGAACGTGGTTTTCAAGTGTCTGGTGAAGTCGTGCGGTCGTTTCTATCACGTGAATTGCATCCAAAACATGGAGTATGGCAGTAAGGAGCACTTCAGCGACCTCACGCACTTCCGCTGCCCCGCGCACTTCTGCTGCGAGTGCCACGAGACCGGCAACACCAAGCACCTCGTGCAGTGCGTTATGTGCTACAAAGCCATCCATGTAAGTTGTTTGACTCTGGAGAACGGCTTCCGCATCTCCAAGCTCTATTATGTCTGTAACTCCCACTCCGTTCCGAAGGGCCTTTCCTCCTGGGATGCCAAAAAGAAGCAAGCCAATGCCGACGACGCGTCCTTCGGGTCCGATCGACGTCGTGACGACACGTACCATCGTCGGCCCTCCCGCGCGTCTTCGCAGAAGCAGGTGTATGAGCCGATTCAGTACGTCGTGCCCATCGAACAGTACAAGGGCGATTGGTGCAGGTATTGCGGAGCACGCCGCTCCAGCGGGTTTATGAAGGGGCCTTGGGGACCCAAAACGCTTTGCGTGGTGCACTACGTGGCCTGGTTTAGAAGCAAGAAGCTCGATCTCTCTGCCTATGTAGGGTTGTGGAGCGGGAATGAGGAGTAGCCTGAGTTACCGACGAAGCCTATTAATATCGAAGCGAATTCAGAGCCTAAGTATATGCATTACTTAAGAATGAAGAAGGAAAAAGACATTTAGTTGTGTTTGTAAAATACCCTCGATTTTTGGAACTTGGCTTATTTTCTCTATATGTTGACGGACGAAAACATTAGGGAGAAAATTGGCGTTCTCAAAGACTGTAGATTCCAGATTCGCTCTATGTTATAAAATAGACTTACGAGAACAAGTCATTGAAATAAGGAAGGCGGGGGATACGGAAAAGAGAAGAAGAATCGTCTTGAGACCTGATGAATGCGTTTGTGCTGAGTTTTGAGCGCGATGTATAGAAAGAGTCCATCAAACAACTCGAGGATCATGGAATGCATTACGGATTTAGCGAAAAGCAGATTGCTGAAGTATGAATATGTTTCCGGCATTCTATTCTAGCTAGCGGAAGTTATCACATTCCCCTATGTGGATCCGAGTATTGAGAGAAGGCTGATTGAAATTTTAAATCCTCGGCATGTATTCTGCCACTTCTCTGAACCATCGTAGAAAGTGGACTCGGCTACGGTTATCCTGTTCCTCAGCCATCTTTCCAACGCGTCTCCAGAAAATCGAAAGCTGATTTTCAAGTGGTTGTGCGTTACGTATCCCTACACCACAGACATGGCTCGAGTACCCATCTTCTCACATCCATATTCACCTCTCTAGTTCTACTACACAAAGCTCTACTCAGTCCTCTTTTTCCAGCTCGATGACGAAGACTCGCTCCCCTACGTCTGCCATCTCCTCTATCTTGTCACAACGCGTCGCTGCATCACTCCGTACCGCTCTCGCCGCCTCCTGGAGCTGTACCAGCGTTCTCTCCACACGGGGCAGATGGTTCGTCCGCTGTTCGCTCTGCTTCAGCTCTACTCGCAGTACGATCCGTCGATTCTTCTCCCGCGACCCCCCAAGAGCAGTCTCGGCTACGGACAGTTCCGACAGGTCGATGAGGGCTGGACCGAAACGCTCGCCACGCTCCATCGCCACGCCCTCGAAACCGGAGAAACGGAGAAACCGGAGAACTCGGAAGACGGGTTCCACGAAACCCCGTCGAACTCGTTTCGCATGAGCTCGCAGCTCTCCCTGCAGTCCCACCTCCTTCTCTCCCGATCGAAACACTATTTCACCGTACCCCCTCGCGGGCGTTTCACCCGTAGTGGCCGCACACGACCTCGCAGTGGCAGTCCCTCCCCGGATCGCCGCGTTCTCCGCGGTCGTCTCGGTCCTGGCGGTCGTCGCAGGGATCGGAATGGGTGACTTTGGAGCAGATCAATTCCATCGCGGAGCTCCTCGCCGCGCTGCAGCGCCGCCGTGTGCGTCTTCTCCTCCCGGACCAGGCCCTCTCCCTCCTCTCCCCCGCCGTCTCCCGCCTCGCGCTCTTCTTTCTCCACTGGGCAATGCCCACCGCGCGGCTGGACTGGGTTTTGCCCGCCGCGCTGCGCTCCCTGCTGCTCCAGGACCGCTTGCCGCGAGCCCAGCGCGCCCATCTCCTCGCCTTTCTCATCCAGATCGGGATGTTCCGCGGGGAACTCGACCCCGCCGTGCAGGCCGTCGTGGAAACTTTCGTGGAAACCTGCGGGTTCGGCGAGAAAGAGGCGGTGTTCCTCGCGGTGTTCCTACCGATCGCCACGCTTCGCTCCGTTTTGCCGCGGTTCAAAATGGAGTTCCAAGGAGCCCCGCAATGCACGCAGGCGGAGATGGCGAGCCACGTGATTGGCTGCTGCGCGATGCTGCGCAGTTTGATTGGTCGAAGCGACAAACGGGAACAGAGGCAAAAACTGGATTTGTTCGAGCGATTGCTGGAGAGCTGCGTGCTGATGGCCGCAGAGAATGGCTCGGCGAACGTCGTGGGGTCCGTCGTGGTGAGCTATTGGGTCGTGCAGTTCTATAACGAGTCCATTCGACAGCATGTGTTCATCCCCTCCGAGGAGGTCGTTCGTATTTTGTCCATGTCGGACAACGCGTCTGTCGTGGACGGGTGCATGCAATTCGTTTTAAAGTACATGAGAAAAAAGGGATGATGAAGGGTAGTTTCCTCCAAGCCGACGAAAGGAAGGGCCGTTCGGTGGAAATGGAAGAAATCGTGAAGAGTTCTCTGAATAAGGAGCATTTGCTGTCGAATATGGTGCGAATGGAGCGAGCTTGTCATTTGTAGGCAGTGGGTCATTTATTTTATCATATGCTTGAAAAGGACCCGGTAGAAGAGTCTTATGATGAAATAGATCGTTTTAAAAAGAAGTTGCATCGATATTTGTACAATGGTATAGATCTTTTCCTTTACCGTGTTTGCTTTTATATCTACTATTCAAAATCATACTAATTTGATTTGGAAATTGTTAAACTTGTTGAATCCTGTTATCACCGCGGTTTTAAAAATGATAAATCGTACAAAAGTCAAATACGCTGCTTACTGATTGATTATTCTCTCTACTTTGAGTTGTAAGTGCTTTTGCAAGTCGTTCCGGAGTGCCTCACCCTTGTTTTAGCAATAACCGCAGATGACTGTATCAGCTATTTATATAATGGGACCGACTGGAAAGGTCATCATTTCGCGTGACTACCGAGGTGATGTGACCGATGCAGACGTGGATAGGTGCTTCGTTGCTGTTTTTCTGTCAGCCTTTTAGATTTGCTGTAATGCTTCGTGAAAAGGAGGACACGGAATTGAAGCCTGTGTTTACCGAGGGAGATACGACCTATATCTACGTGAAGGTACATTTTGAAGAGCGGAGCTAAACGGAAGAGCGGGAACTTGTATTTGTTGGCACTCTCAAAGCGTAACGTCAACGTAACGATGGTGATGGAGTTTTTGAACCATTTGGTGCGTGTGTTCCAAGATTACTTTGGTGTGTTTGATGAGGAGCGAATTCGGTAATGCCCCTTCTGTCTGATTGACTCTAGCGACAATTTTGTGATTATGTACGAGCTCTTTGACGAGATGATGGACTTCGGCTTCCCTCAAGTGCTTGTTGTTTCGAACCCTCACACGCAGATCACAGACACGCAGGTCATGAAAGAATACATCACGCAGGAGTCCCAGCGTTTGGAGAAGACCACGGTGGTGCCCTCCAATCTCACGAACGTCGTGAGCTGGCGCCAGGAAGGCATCAAATACAAGAAGAACGATGTGTTCCTGGACGTGATCGAAAAGGTCAATCTGTTGGTGGCCCGCGATGGCACGGTGCTGGATAGCGAGATCGTGGGAACGATCGAAATGAAGGTGTGCTTGTCTGGCATGCCCGAGCTGAAGCTGGGTAGGCGGATGAAGCTGCGTTGTGAGCGCTAGGTCTGAACGACAAGGTGCGATTCGACATGGGCGATCGCAAACTGGAGGCGTCGAAGGGCGGCAGCAGCAACAACATCGATTTGGAAGACGTCCATTTCCACCAGTGCGTCCGTTTGGCGACGTTCGACAACGATAAAACGATCAGCTTCATCCCTCCCGACGGGCAGTTCACGCTCATGTCGTACCGTCTGCACACACAGGTTCGTCCGCTCATCTGGGTCGAGGTCTCCACCACACGCAAGACCACTTCCATCGACTATTTCGTGAAGGCCAAGTCCAACTTCAAGGCGCATTCCACCGCCACCGACGTGGAAATCTTCGTGCCGCTGCCCGCCGATGTGGACACGCCGCAGTTCAATGTAGAATTCAGGCAGAGCGGTGCGAACTAGACGTCCCTGGGAACGGTGAGCTACGTGCCCGATAAGGACTGTCTGTTGTGGAAGATCAAGCAGCTCTACGGAATGCGCGAGTACCATATGCGAGCCCACTTCGGTCTGCCGTCGGTGCAGCGCGATGATGGCGTGGGTGCGAAGGGAGAGGGTGATTGGTGTAGCAGCAGGACGATTACCAGATGCGTCCCATCGCAGTGAACTTTGAAATCCCGTATTACACGGCCTCTGGATTGCAGGTGCGATATCTGAAGATTGTGGAGAAGAGTGGATACGAAGCGCTGCCGTGGGTGCGCTACATCACTCGAAATGGTGACTATCAGCTGAGAATGAAGTAGTGAATTGGGTTGTTTGTTGCAAACTGGTGGTGGTGGTGAGGAGGAATGAATGAATGAATGAATGAATGGGATTGAGTTGTTGTAAGTGGGAGTGAATGAAGGGAGGGCGATGATTATTGGGGATAGAAGAGAATAAAGAAAGCAGATTTCCTTGTTCTCTTCATCCACCCGTGACTCATTTCCTTCGTCCATTCCCTCACTATTCAATTCGCTATCTCGAACCAAACACAGTGGAGAACATTCATTTCTACTACTTCTTCTGATTCTTCATGTAAATCTTCTTCTTCCCGTCTTTCTGATTGCGCAGCTCCTTCCTCTGTCTCTTTCTTTCCTGCGCTTCCTCCGCCGATTTCGCTCCTTCCTTTCCCTCGCCCTTCTTTTTATCTGCTGCAAACATTCTCGGCTTTCCCTGCTGCTTTCCCTTCTTCTCAGGTCTCACTTTCTTCGCCACGCTCTCCTTCTTCTTCTGTGGCTTGCTCTCCTCCTTCTTCTGTGGCTTGCTCTCCTCCTTCTTCTGTGGCTTGCTCTCCTCCTTCTTCTGTGGCTTGCTCTCTTCTTTCTCCTCCTCCTCCTTCTTCGGCTTCTCCGTGGCCTTCTTTACAAACTTCTTTGGCTTCTCCGCGGCCTTCTTCGGTTGTTTCTTCTTCGGCTGCGCTTTCTTCCTCGGCTGCGCTTTCTTTGCCTTCTTCACTTCCTTTTCTTCCCCTTCTCCCGACTCTCCAGTCTCTCCCGTCTCTCCCGTCTCTCCAGTCTCTCCGGTTTCCCCTGTTTCTCCGAATTCTCCCTCTCCCTCGACCTTCTTCTCTCGGTTCTCTCGGAGAGCCAGCTCCAACTGCCGATCCTCCTCCGTCTCGTCCTCGGTCTTCGGGATTTCGTTGCTCAGCTTCACCAGCTTCGCCACAAAGAAGCCATCCATGTTGTGCACGTGCGGATAGTACCGACGCGTCATCGACATCGATGGGTGGTATTTGAACTGTCGGAAGCTGGTGAATCCGGGCGTTCCGAAGGTCAATCCGGTGTCCACGAGCTTCACATGACGTTTGCGCAACGCGTAGTTCACGACCGCTTCGTTCTCGTACACGGAGACGGAACACGTCGAATAGACCAGCACGCCGCCCGATTTGGAGTTGGCATCGATGGAGTCAATGGCCGCGAGGATCAGCAGCTTCTGCACGAAGGCGTTCTGCACCATGTCCTTCACGGTACGGCTCATCTTGACCGAGGGATCGCGACTAATCACACCCAGACCGGTGCACGGCGCATCCAGCAGCACGCGGTCGAACCCGCCCATCACCTTGGGGAACTTGCAGCCGTGGTAGTTGGTCACGATCGTGTTGGTGACGCCGAGACGATGCAGGTTGGCCACCGTCGCGATCAATCGCTCCTTCTTCAGGTCGTTCGCCACCAGCACGCCCGTGTTCTTCATCAGCTGTGCGATGTGCGTCGTCTTGCCGCCAGGCGCCGCACACATGTCCAAAATTCGCTCGTTGGGCTGGGGATTCAGCGCCATGACGGGGAGCATGGAGGACGCGCTCTGCAGCATGTAGTGGCCAGCGAGATATTCGGGAGTGGCTCCGATTGGCACCGGCGTGTCGTAGATCTTCAGACCCAGGCGGCTCCACTCGCCCAGAGGATCCAGATTGATGCCACGATTGATGAGGACTTGCGCCAGGTCGCGACGGCGCGTTTTGAGCGTGTTGGTACGGATGACGAGCGGACGATCGCTCTCGTTGGCGTCGAACCATTCCACGCACTCTTGGGGACTGAACATGTAGAAGAAGTACTCCACTAGATTCGGGTTGTAGCTAGGAATCACTCTTTCCCGAACTCGAAATACCCGTAGAAACGAGCGCAGTAGCTACGCAGACGGTCCATATACTCCTCACGACTCACATTGGGGTCGCGACGACGACGGAAGTCGGCAAGGATCGTTACAATGTCCTGGATACGCTCTTTCATCTCATCTAAGTCGTGGAATGCCTCGTCGGTCTTCATATCGACGGCCATATGCTCTTCTCTATTTAAATCCTCTTCGAGGTTTTCTTTAGCTTCTTTTTTAACTAACTCTTCGTTCTGCTCCTCTTCCAGGGCCTTTTTCTCGAAATCGTTCTACACGCTCAATATTCTCCTATTCAAGTTACCTGCTCCTCCTCATCGCTCAGCTCTTCCTCCTCCATCATGTCACTGTCTCCTTCTTCCTTTAACTTGAGCCATTTGTTGTCCTTATCGGAAAACGACTTTGGCTTTGAGGTGGCCACTTCCTTTCCGCCTTCCTCTTCAGTGTCATCACTTACGATGACAGTTACAGAACTCTCACGATAAGGCACGTCTGACTCATTATGCTCCTCAACATCACTGTTTAAGAGGTCTGCGTCTTCGGAGTGCATGTCTGGTGTTCTATAGAATGGTACTAAAAGGAAATTTGGAAATGGATGAGGCGAAAAAACAATTTGTGTGGATAGATTTGTTATTTATACTCAGTCCTCATGTCTTTACTGCATTTCGACTCAAAAAGGAATCAATAGCAGGAAAATGCCAATATATGAATTTACCTGGTATTTTGATCGAACACCTTGACGGTTACGCGTTTTTCTGGAAGGAGAAAGCGACACATGCTGTTTTGCTGAAATAGTCTATATTTTTGTACAGGCCGTTTTTCTTATAAAAGGTATAGATCTCTGTATCTACATATTCAGTTCTGTTACCTCGCTTGCTGAGAAGGAATAAATAAGGTAGGATCGATAAAGCATGTTTCTCGAGTAGAGGTGTATATTATATCTGTAGCCAAAGATCATATAGGACAATGGAAAATTCAGAACTGAAGAATTATTCACTACAAGGAGTTCTGCAGTTTATTGCAAACAAGTTTCATGAGTTTTTGGCTGCTATATTTTCTGATGTTTAGGTTTGACATGGAACGGATTAAATGGGAACAAGAAAGAGAAGAACTGAATCGCAAGATTTGTGAACTAGAGAGTGATAAAGCTGTTTTCCTTCGGTATCTACGCTAATCTTATAGTATTTGGAGCAACAACTCAATGAAATCGTGAATCAGACCGCACAATCTTCCAACGTTTTTCTCTTTTCGTGTATATGATATTCAGGAAGGATCGAGCAGCGGATTCCACTCTTTGCAGAGTACGGGACATCGCTGCCGCAGTGTGAGTCGCATGACAGCCACGCGCAAGGTTCTGCAGCGCTTTTTAAACAAGCACGACTTGGAAGGGAACTCGACTCCTCGTCAGGGAGGCGAAGATCTCTCCACCCCCACCCATGACGTGATGGTCAGCCATCGTCCCTCGAGCACCTTCACCCACGCCGATTTTCTCACCGGCTCGCTCCACTCGGCCCGTTCTCTAAGCTCTGGGCGTCTCCACCACGAGTCCTCGCGTCCTAGCTTCTACCTCTCGCTGAACTCTGCGCGCGAGCTCCCCTCGCACCACTCCCTCACCAGCGATCACGACGGACTGGGCAAAGCCCACGAGGACCCCACGCCCGTCACGTCCACGCCGGGGCTGGGCGACAGCGGACTCGAAGACATGGGCGATGTGGAGTTCTCCGCCCTGCTGGAGATGCAGCAACGGCAGCAGCAGCAGCAGCGTCGGCAAGAGTTGACGCAGGAGATGGCGGCGGGCGCTTCGGCGGGCGCTTCGACGGGTTCGTTAGGTCTGGAGGGAGGCAAGGGGGAGGAAAGCGTCGCTGTGGCGCAAGGGAGCGGGGCCAGGAAGAATCTGCGCGCTCGCAGCGGACAGCGGCGCCACACGCTCGCGTCCTCCACGGCCGATCCGACCGCCCGCGTCGATTCCTCCTTCCCAGCGCCGACCCAACCCTCCGGTGAGCCTGCTGCCCAGCCCTCCTCGCCCTCCTCGCCTTCGACCTCCCCTCCAATCCCTCCGCAACCCACGCAATCGCCTCCTCCGCCCCCATCGCAGCCCTCCGGTGAGCCCGTTCCCAAACCCTCCGGTGAGCTCTCGTCTCAACCCTCCGGTGAGCCCTCTGGTGAGCCCTCTGGTGAGCCTGCTTCGCAACCCTCCAGTGAGCCTCCGGCCATGGAAAGTCGATCCGAGAAGCGCACCGAATCCATCGACCGCGAATCCAAGGCGGTCGAGACGCAGCAGGCCGATCCCCGCGGGGACTCGCCTCCCCCCGCGGTAACGGCGTCGTCGCGCGTGTTTTCGTTCGACGATTCGCTGGAGAAGGCGGAGAAGGTGCCCGCGTTCTCCGCGAACCAGATCAATCGCTTGTATTGCTTTTCCCCGCGGTGAACCCCAGCCATCGCGACCCCATCCGCTGTCTGCAGTTCAGCGAGGTGAACCACGGCTCGCTGCTCAGCGTGGATTCCCGCGGCATCGCGTGTATCTGGGACACGCCGTCGATGCAGTGCCCTCCTTTGTGTTCCGTCCCCTCTAGACTGTGCATCAACGAAACGCCCTCGCAGGTTCTGTACACGGGCGACTATCTCTCCCCCACGCTCGCAGCCACCTGGATTTCCCAGCTGGACGCGGTCGCGACGGCCAACGGCGAGGGCGTCGTCCAGCTTTTCCGCGTGGCGCCGTCCTGCCCCTCCGCCACGTTCGCCAACGGCGCCATCCAGCCGGTCGGCGAGGCGGGCGGGTACTCGAGAGCGAGCTGGAACGGACCCTTCGATGCGGCGCCCAAGGCGGCGTGGGCCTTGATGAGCGCGATGAGTCGTAGATTCCTCGAGCTCACGCAGCATTCCGATGCGGTCTGGGCATTGTTCAACAATGAAACGGCCACCGGGAAGGCGGGGCGGCTTCTGTTCTCCGCGTCGGCGTCGGGCACGCTGCTGTGCAGCGATCTGGAGCGAGGCAGGGCGAAGGAGCGAGGGCTGAGGGGTAGAACAGAACGAGCTGGTGGAGGTGGAGCGCGTGAACGGCGAGCCCAACGCGATTGTGAGTCTCACGAGCAACGGCGCCTTCGCCGACTCCCTGTTCTGCGGACACAAACTCGGCAATGCGAGCCTCCTCGACCTGCAGACCCTCAAAACCGTGCGGACGTTCGACCCTCTGCGCAGCATTCTGCCGTGCTATCCTTCCCAGACGGAGTGGAGTCGCGACCCCGTGCACTCGATCGCTCTGCACCCTGCCCAGCCACTGCTCGCCGTGGGAACGCGCTACGGCTTCATTCATCTCTTCGACGTGCGCGATCCCGCGTGCTGCGTGTCCATCCGCGCGCACTCCGACTCCGTGGCGCAGGTCGCGTTCCATCCGTGGTTCAGCACGCTGCTTTCCACGGGGTATGATGGCGTGCTGCGCGTCTGGTGCGATCGGGAGCGGTCGCTGGTTCGGCAGTATGCTGTGGGGGAGAGCGAGGCGGATGAGGCGTAGAATATTGACGCGGCCGTGTTTAATGAAAGCGCGCTTCGGTTTGCTGTTAGTAGCAATAACGGGAATTTGGTGGTCGGTGGAGCTACGGGAGCGTTGCATTGCTATGTTTAATATCGCTTTGAGGTGTTTTTTTATAAAACAAACATAGAACAATCATTTGATGATTTGAACGAACTAATAAAAAAACATTCATCCATTGCTTGCTGGCTCGTTTAAATCACTCACTCATTCATTCATTCATTCAAACAAACAACAACAACAATACAACACAAAAAACTTTACAATGCAATTCGAATTCGCAGGGCTTCAAGGGGAGTCGATTTGCCCTCGGTTCCGGCTGTCTCTCCGTCCTTCACCCACGGCTGCCAGCCCATTCCCTTCACACAAACGCTGTAGTAAATGTGATAACCCTCCGCTTCCACCAAGCGCAGCTGAATGGCTTCCAGACGAAGACCCTTCCCTTGCGTGCCTCCAACCATGTCGTTTTGCACGTCAGACATCCAGCCATAGTTCTGCACATGACAACGCAGCATAATACGCCCAGGACCCGTGTAATGAATATAAAGCGCTTCGGCCCGCTGTCCCTTGCCTTCGAGTCCGGCGACCTGATTGTCTCCTACGAAATTTGTCCATCCAACGTTAAAAATATAAAGGCGATATTGAAGATGAGGTTCATCCATAGCAAAACGTACATCTAAAGCGACAATATAGTGCTGGCACGCTGTATCTCCAACCATATCTCCATCACGCTTCCAGTGGGTCCAGTTTCCATCTTCGAAACACACGCGGTAAAAAACATGATAACCAACAGCATTCTTTAAGCTCATTCGTAGGGCATGTATAATCTTTTCACATTGGGTATCTCCACAAATCGAACCGTCCGAAGAAGCTTGGACCCATTCTTTGCTCTCCAAGTATGTTTGAATGTCGAGCTTACCCACGCCGGTGTACTTAAACTGCAGACTCGTAAGAGCATCATTCGAATCAGGCTTTCCGGATATGGTTCCCACCTTGACCCAGTCACTCCATCCAGAAGATTTTGAGTATGATCTAAATGTGATACTCTGAAATGAATTCATTAATTTTGTATACAAATGAAACTCCAATTGCGCCAAACTTTTTCTCTGAGAAAATGGCTAAGAAGGTTTATAAACCTAATCCTTTACTCGACATTTTGCTACCCATCCTATTTACCTCGCTAGCTGCATTTGTTATGTAGGATGTAGATCTCGTGGATTTACGTTTAAGTCGGAACCTCTATATCGAGGGTCGGTACTTCTGGACGCTTGTCGCCATGACGATCATCGTTACCGTTCTAGTTTTAAGTGTTGAGTATTGTTTGCGAATCTTTGGAAGATGGCTTTCTCGCACGTGGCTCAGTGATGAACACCATGGTATGGAAGCTGGCCGCGCTTCATGCTTAGGAGATCCTCTTTCTCACAACTTAGCCTTGAAGAAGTTTGTAGATCAAGGCTGGCAGCTCGTGTATCATTCTATTTTTTCGTTCTGGGAATACTTGCTCCTCCGGAAATATAATTGGTTTGAAGGCGAACGCCTCTTTTTCTCTGTGTCCGAGGAAGAGATCACTCCGGACAGCATCAAATACCTGTTCATTTCTCAGATCGTGCTCCTCTTCCATCTCCCCTCATGTCCAGGCTCTCTGGTTGTTCCAAGCGTACCGCCACGTGTTCGTCAACCAGCGCAAGAAGGATTACTACGAGCTGTTCGTCCACCACATCGCGACCCTCAGTCTGTGCTGTAGGTCTTCCCGCATCGCTTTTCACGCGCAGACGTCGCTTACGATCGCTACTACCACCTCGGCCTTCTCATTCTCTTCGTCCTCTCTTCCTCGCACCCCTCACCCACAGCTCCATGATTTCAGCGACATCCTCATCGACACTCTGAAGCTGCTCAATCTCTGCAAGATCAGCGGCAGCGAGGACTATTTCATCCTGGAGACCGAATACGTCCTCACCTGCGCGGTCTGGTCCTACGAGCGCCTCTACCTGCTGCCCTATTTGTTCCTCCAGAAGGGCCTCGCGGTGTGCTGGAAGCTCTACAGCAACGTGCCGCGCATCGAAATGCTCAAAGCCGAGTGGATCTTCTTCGCGCAGATCGCATGTCTCATCGTCCTTTATATCCTGCATTGGTACTGGTTCATTCTCTTGCTACGCATCGGACTGAGAGCCTTCGTGACGTAGGCAAGGCGGGAGCCATGAAGGGTAGGGAGAGGGAGAATATTCGACAGGTCACGAAGGAGGGCTATGAGGGAGCCTCGGATACAGAGTCAGAGAATGAGGAGGATGAGGATGAGGATGAGGAGAAGAAGAAGAAGAAGAAGAAGAAGAGCCAGAGCAGTGGAAAGAAGCATAAGAAAAGCGAGTAGTTTGGCGTGTTTGTTGGAAATCACTTTGGACGGGGGACAGCAGAAGTATTTTTTGCAATGGCTGGAATTCAGCTTGGTGACAAACAAGTGACTCTCGAGGATCTGGACGCAGTGATTTTCGACAGAAGCGTGATTCAGGTCGATCCTGCGTATTTGGCCAAGGTTCGGGATTTGAGACTGGTGGATACCTTCTAGATCCAAACGCCTGGAAAGAAGAAGGGTGCAAAGCTCACTACGGTAAAGTTGTGATTTTTGGCTCGTCTTTATTGTAGCGTGGAAAAGGTAGACGTCCCTGTGCTGGAGGACGTGGCGAGAGCATCTCTCGTATTTTCGCTCCTCGCTTTGTTGAAGGTAGGGACGTCTCAAACAAACAAGCAGTAGAGTGACGGAATTAGCGAGCAGCTCACACGAGGCCTCATTGCTGTGCTCAATGAGAACAAGGACCTGCCTCTGAACATTCTTTCCCTCCCCGACGAAATCGAGCCCTTCAAAGAGGAGAAAATGCCCCTTACGGAGCACGAGCGCGAGATCCTCAGCGCTGTACCGCCCCCACTCCATGCCTCATCTCCCAGCTCTCTCCTCGCACCACCGCTCTCTGCTACCTGATTTTCAAGCGTGTCGAGCGTCTCAACAATCTCCTCCTTATGGGCTCCGCCCTCCTCCTCTCCCTTCTGGGCGCCAAACTCGACTCTCTCTCCGAGTCCGTTTACGAAGTGGTTTCCCGGTTTCCCCTTTCATCCAGGTTGACCATCTGCACCGAAACGCTGCGTACGTCGCGCAGATGCTCCGCGTCGCTCTTTTCGGCGCATCGAATCTCCAATCGGATTGCACTTCGCTCGTCCAGCCGCTCCCCGAGCTGCTCGGCCCGCTCTACGACTATTGCAAGCAGTTTAAACTGAGTCTGCAGGCAGAACTCAACGCTCCGCCGACATCCCGCGGATCGGCGACCTTGTTTTCCTTCGCGCGAAGCATCGACGAGCAGATCGAAGACATCGCGAGCCGTGCGATTTTCGCCCCACTTCGACGTAGACATGCTTCGCATGGCGCAGGAAGCGAAGATCGAATCTGATTGGTCGGCGCTTTCCGAGCGAACAGCCAATCAGATCGCCGCGCTGGCCACCTCCGAGCGCAGCCTTCGCGTTCCTCTCACGCTCCTCGAGCGGATCGACGCGCTGGAGACCCTCCTCAGCATCATCTACTCGCATTCTCTCCAAGTGGGTTTCCCCGTTTCCCCGTTCCGTCTAGAAGCTGGAAGCGCTGTCCCAGCAAGCGTCGGCGGCGTCGGGCCCCGCGAAGACGCTGGACCCCTCCATCGAGGCGCGTCTGGCGGCGGAGCGCGCGAAGGAAGAAGCGGGTCTGGACGAAGCGACGCTAGCGAAGATCCGCGAGAAGCGAGCCGCGAAGGAGGCGAAGAAGGCCGCGAAGGCTGCGCAGAAGGCGGCGAAGCGCGTGAACTTCGGGAACGGCATCACGCAGCTTCTCGCCGTCGTCGCGCAGCAGAACCTCGCTCTCGCCACGACGGAACCTCGAGAAATTCTGCTGCGCGTGCTCCCGAGCCACCTCGCGGCGCTGCTGGACGCGCTGAAGTCGGGCGGCGTGCACCGCAAGCCGAAGCTCCCGAAGGTACTTCCTTTCCCCGCGGTTGTCGGTAGGGCACGCGCGACTTCACGCCGGAGCAGATGGCGATCCGACACCGGCTGTTCTCGCAGATCCGCGCGGTGTTCGAGCGGCACGGCGGCGTGGAGCTGGACACGCCGGTGTTCGAGGAGAAGGAGACGCTGACCGGGAAGTACGGCGAGGACTCCAAGCTCATCTACGACCTCGCGGACCAGGGCGGCGAACTGCTCGCGCTGCGGTACGACCTCACGGTGCCGTTCGCGCGGTACCTGGCCGTGCACGGCGTGAGCCAGCTGAAGCGGTTCCACATCGCCAAGGTCTATCGCCGCGACAACCCCGCCACCTCCAAGGGACGCTTCCGCGAGTTCACGCAGTGCGATCTCGACGTCGCCGGCGCCTACGACGACATGACCGCCGACGCCGACGTCATTGCCGCGGGAATCGAGGTCTACGAGGAGGTGGGCGTCGGCAACATCGCCGTCAAGATCAACCACCGCGCGCTGCTCGACGGCATGATGGAGATCTGCGGCGTCCCCGCGGGGAAGGTCCGCGCCATCGGCTCGGCGATCGACAAGCTCGATAAAGAGCCCTGGGAGGCCGTGCGTTTCGAGATGACCGAGAAGAAGGGGCTCCCCGCGGAAGTCGCCGACCGCATCCGCGAGTTCGTGGAGATCCGCGGGACGCCGTGGGAGGTGCTGGAGCGGCTGGAGGCGATGCCGTGCATGCGGTCGCACGGCGCGGCGTGGGCGGCGCTGGCGTCGATGCGGCGTCTGTTCGGGTATTTAGAAGCGATGGGCCATCTGGCGAAACTGTCGTTCGACATGTCGCTGGCCCGCGGGCTGGACTACTACACGGGCGTGATCTACGAGGTGGTGCTGCTGGACAACCCCTACGGCGTGGGGTCCATCGGCGCGGGCGGGCGGTACGACAAGCTCGTGGGCATGTTCAGCGCCAGCGGCAAGCAAATCCCCTGTGTGGGCATCTCCATCGGCGTGGAGCGCGTGTTCACCATCCTCGAGAAGAAGGCCGCCGACGAGGGAACGCTGCGCTGCGCGCCGTGCGATGTGTTCGTCGCTTCCGCGGGGAAGGAGCTCGCCGCGCAGCGCATGCGCATCGCGGGGATGCTGTGGAGGAACGGAATCAAGGCCGAGTTTGGGTATCAGGCCAACCCGAAGCTGCAGAAACAGCTGACGTACGCGCTGGAGAGCGGAGTGAAATGGATCGTGGTCGTGGGAGAGGAGGAGATGAAGCAGGGAAAGGTGAACTTGAAGAATCTGCAGACGAGAGAGGAGGTTACCATTCCCGTCGAGAGCGTCGTGGACGAGTTGAAGAAGCAGGGAGTTCATCAAAACACTCTTTGGTGTGTTTGTTGTATACGTGCGATTTGGGATTTCGTAGTGGCTCCTAGCTCTGGACAGCGTTCTATCCGTTTCTAGACTCATGGACTTTGACATCGACACAATTATTACCACGCTCTTTAGCGTTAAGAAGGAAAGGCCGGGAGTGCAGGTGAACTTGCCGGAAGAGTGGATCCGCACTCTCTGTGGAAAAGCGCAAGAGATCTTCAAATCCCAGCCGATGCTTCTGCGGCTGAAGGCTCCGATTCAGATATGCGGTACTGCAGCATTTTTGGAGTGCTTACAGGCTAGGCGACATTCACGGTCAGTATTACGATCTTCTTCGTTTGTTTGAATACGGAGACTACCCTCCAAAAGCAAATTATCTGTTTCTCGGGTTCGTCCCTTGCCTTGCTTGCGATGTAGAGATTACGTGGACCGAGGCAAGCAGAGTATTGAGTGCATTTGCCTTCTCTTCGCCTATAAAGTAAAATATCCCAACAACTTCTTCCTTCTGCGCGGAAACCACGAAACAGACAACATCAACAAAATCTACGGCTTCTACGACGAATGCAAGCGTCGCTACAGCATTCGGCTCTGGAAGGCCTTCTCCGAATGCTTCAAATACCTCCCCGTATGCGCCCTCGTCGATGACCGCATCATCTGCATGCACGGTGGTCTCTCTCCCGATTTAACATCGCTATCGCAGATCGAATCCATCCAGCGTCCTTGCATCGTACCAGATCACGGACTCCTCTGCGATCTGCTGTGGTCCGATCCGGAGTACGAGCTTGCTTCTGGATGGGGCCTAAACGATCGAGGCGTGAGCTATATATTCGCAGAAGACGTGGTTCACGCGTTTTTGGAGGAACAAGACTTGGATTTGGTATGTCGGGCACATCAAGTGGTGGAGGACGGTTATGAGTTTTTCGCGGACAGACACTTGGTTACCGTGTTTTCTGCACCGAATTATTGCGGAGAGTTCGATAACGCGGGAGCCATGATGAGTGTGGATGAGACGCTGATGTGCTCGTTCCAAGTGGGAATTTCGAGGGAGAATGCGCGTTACGCGTAGATTTTGAAGGCAGTCTCGTCGAAGCAGCGGATGCAAAACAATCAAGATTTGACGTCCGATTCGCTGGATGAAATGGGAGGAGTGAAGTCGAAGAAGCATTATGATAAGGAAAAGTATTCGAGCTAGTTTGGTTAGTTGGAGTGTTTGTTTGAGAATAGGAGAGAAGGTGCGGGGATCGGGATCGGGATCGAGATCCATTCTATCGATAATCAAAGCGGGATGTACGATGGATAAATGGTTGGTTGCAAATAACCTTTTCTTGGTATGATTGAAATTGGAGGGTAGAGCGATTCAATGGGCAGAATACATGGCATCGTGGGTAAATCGTACATTTTCATATCAACTGGTTTACGTAACATCGCACACTACCCTACTTGTGTGGTTGCTCTATGAATACACCCAATTCAAATTCTTTGATTCAATAAACATTCCATGAGCACTAAGAACACTAAGAACAATAAGAAAACAACAAAATCAACAATCGCAACCATCAAACTTTCTTCGTTCGCAACTGATAAAACAGCACATACGCATTGGGATTATCCTCCACTTGTTGCTGCATCAGTGGAGTCCTCTGCGTATCATTGAAACAGAACCAATCGAGTTCCCTCTCATTTTCTGGATTCGTCGCCATGTTGATAAACGCAATGTAGTGACCTCCGCTCGTCGTTCCCAGATGGTCAATCACTCCGATCAAGTCATATCTCATCCTCACTCCCTTTCCCCAATCCTACACCACGCTTCCTTCCTCCATTCCAAAGTATTTCGACACGTCCAATCCCTGCCATTCATTTTCCCGCCATCTCCTACATGCAGCGGATACTTCACATTTTCGTAAATCTTCACCGCTCCGTTCGCGTCGAACGCAAATCGCATCAAATGCAAAATTAAAATCAGCGGCGGATGTACCATCTGCAAATCGCGCACCAGCTCGACCACTTTCTTGCACTTTTCGCACGTATAATCCGCATTGAAGTCCAAAATCTCCCTCCGGAAGTAATTCTGTAGACACGTCTCTAATCGCAATGTCCCCTCGTCTCGCTCCCTCTCCCCGGAAATCGACGGATCAATGAACAGAGAGGGCGATGCCGACGTCATTGCCAGTGCGGACAAGGTCGTGATAAATGCATGTCGTATCTGTCCATTAGTCGCCGCTGTCGTCGCTGTCGTCGCCGTGGTCGCCAGCTGCGTGTTTTGCAGCACATGCCGCACCGTGGGCTGAATGGTAATCACCAGCGTCATCGCATCTGCAGGAATCACCGTCTCCAGCATTCTCTTCTCCTCCTTCGGCAGTTCCACGGTTTCCCCGTTTCCACACCGGAACCACACGCTCTCGATCGATTCGTCTACCGTTCACCCGCTTCTCCGTTTCTACACAGCAGCTCCAGCTGCGCCCACAGTCTCCCCGCGGTTAACCCGCCCATCCCCAGCAGCACCGACCGCGGGAGTTTCTTCAGCCGGCCTTCTTGCAGAACTTCCAATCCGATCCACCGCACGTGCTCCATCCCCGCGGAAATCTTCGCGTTGGGGAGCACGCGGCACACCAGATTGCGTCCCTCCGTCATGCGTCCGTTCACCCAATCAGCTGTCGCCACTCTACGCCTCAACAGTTTCCACGGTTTCCACTGTCCAGACGCGGCGTGGAGCGCGTAGCACTCTTCCGGGCCGTGCATCAAATCCGCCTGGGAGAGCAGCGCCTGCAATTGGTGCAGCGAACAGTTTTGGTGCACCAGCAAGGCGAGTTGCCGCGGTTTTGGCGCGATTAGGAGGGAGTCGTCGATGTAGATCGGATGGTACAGAATCACGGTGACTTGCAGCCGGTGTCCCGCGGGGATCGGGAGAGAGAGCGAGGTGGCTTGTTGGGTGGTGGAAACGGAGGCACCGCAGGAGCCGCACGTGCTCACGCTGCGCAGCAAACACGAAAAAACCGCGGTGATCGGAGACAAGGCCTCGTGGCAGAGCGAAGCCCAGGCGCCGCGCTCCGACGTGGGGAACACGCGGTCTCCCCGCGGGGAGGAGGGTCTGGAATTGGAGGAAGCATTGAAATCAGTGGGCGAACCATCGATAGAATTATTAATTGAATCATTAATTGAATTATTAATTGATTTATTGCTTGAACCATCGTGGAAATTATCGATTGAATCATCGATTGAACCATCGATTGAATCATCGATTGCTTTCGAACTTTTCAAATCCATGGCCAACGCATTCATTTCATTCAAACCGGCCTTTTGCCCCCGTGGTTCCCTTCTCTCTCCATTCGTGGTTTCCCCATTCGTGGTTTCCCCACTGCCTGGCTCCCTGGCTCGCCGCGGAGCGACGACGGTCCACTCGTCCTGCAGCGCGTCCAGGATCTTCTCCACGGCCTCGTGCGCGTCCTCCTGGCTCCACAGCGAGAGCTCGGGATGCCTGCGCAGCAGCGCCGACCGCACCAGCCACTACTCCTCATTTCTCCCCGCCAACCCAACCGCCGACGCGGGGCTGTGCCCGAACCGCATATCCGCGAACAGCTGGCTCAGCGCGTCGCTCAGACCGCGCCTCTACCCATCACCCTCCCCGCGGGAATCCACCTCCGACCGCAGATACCGCTCGAACTGCCGGCTGAGCAGCAGGCGCCGCAGCGGCGCCACCGAGAACAGGCACTGCAGTCCCGCGGATAAATAGCACGTGTTCCCCGCGTTCGCGATGCCCTGGCGGACCTGCTCCGTCCCCGCGGGGAGGTCGCTGACGGCGCACTCCGCGGGGAGCATGGGCTGCGTGTCGGCGTCGGTGGGCGCGCTGCAGGCGTAGCGGTGGAAGGGGAAATGCGCGCTCCGACATGCGAAGCTGCAGTAAAAAACGCGCTGGCAGCGGCGGCAGCGCAGCAGAGCGTCCTCGCCGCAGACCACGCAGGGGATCCGAGCGCGCAGAGAGCAGCGCGGCGCGTGGAGGAATTGGTCGGGGACGGAGGGAGGCGAGGGCGCGTCGGAGGGAGGCATGAGGACGGAGATGCGCGATGGGCTGCGGGAGGGGAGGGAGTACTTGTTGAAGAGCTCCTCGTCGCTTTGTGTGGAGGAGTGGCAGGGAGAACGGAGGCGCGGAGCGCGGCTGGAGCCATCACGGACGAGGAGGGCGTAGGAATAGTCGTAGCGGCGCGCAAGATAATGCCAGACGGTGGGATTGACGATGTAGAAGTCGAGACCCTGGAGCAGACCGGGCTGCAACACACAGATGGAGGTCAAGTCTTCGCAGGACTGGGACCACTAGGAATGATCGGAATCCGGTCGAACGGACGAGGAGAGACGAGTTGTCGATCGGTCCTGGGTGAAATTGATCCTCCTACGGGTAATCCACGAAGCGAAGGCGGTACGAAGATGTAATCGATCCAGCGACGCATCCATTCGCCATTCACGAGATAGAAACACGCATCGATTTGATTCCAGTCCTTTCGCAGAATGCAGATCTCCTTCGCCTTCTCCGAGTCTTTCTGCGTGAAGAGATTGTTAGGACGATTGCTTTCGGACTCTACATACGAATCAAGGTCAAAAACAGGCGAGAGCGCCGCCTGATCCTTCTGAATGAACAGCTTCGCCTCGAGGGAGCAGACGAGCGTCTTTTTCATCGAGGGACAAAAATAGATTGCATCAAACAAACACGCTCTCACATAACAACAGCAACCAGCAGCAGCAGCAGCGGCAGGGCTAGGTTTACCAGCTGAGGAAGTCCTCCTCGATGGGGGTTCCGGCCTGGAGTTCCTCGGCCTCTTCTCCGAAGTCTTCTTCTTCTTCTTCTTCTTCCTGCACGGCCTTCTTGGCGGGCTTCTTCGCCGCCTTCTTCTTCGGACGCTCTTCTTCCTCCTCTTCCTCTTCTTCCACCACCTTGCGAGCCGCCTTCTTCACGGGCTTCTTCTTCTTGGGTCGCTCTTCTTCCTCTTCCTCGTCCTCGTCCTCGTCATAGCGCGACGCCTTCTTCGCGGGCTTCTTCTTGGGACGCGGACGCTCCTCTTCCTCCTCGTCCTCGTCGTCATCATAGCGCGACGCCTTCTTCTTTCTGGGCTTGTAATCATCCTCGTCGTCCTCGTCATCATAGCGTGAAGCCTTCTTCTTTCTCGGTCTGTAATCGTCGTCGTCGTCGTCATCGTCATAGCGCGACGCCTTCTTCTTTCTCGGTCTGTAATCATCGTCATCGCTGCTCTCGCGGAATCGCATCCGATCGGGCTGCGACCGATTGCCCATCACGCCTCTCCGCTTCGGTCTCTACGCCTCACCCGTGCTTCCTTCTCTCCCTACTCCCACCTCCGTGATCACTTCATCGTCGAACTCCGACTCCGACTCTTCCTCCTCCTCCGACACCGCGTCGTCGTGGAAGTTGCTCGCCACCATCTGCACGCGCCGCGGCACGCGCTTCCCCACCTTCGCCTTGATTATTTTGAACAGCTCCACCGCCGACGCGCGCTTCTCCGGCTCCGGCGTCAGCATTCGCTTCAGCAGATCCACCAGCTCGGCGGAGTAGCGATGGCGCGGCGGGATCGTGTACTTGGCGCCCAGAATGGCCAGCTTGCTCGCGTTGAGGAACGGCTGCTTGAGGAACATCAGCGTGTACAGAATGCAGCCCAGCGCCCAGATGTCCGTCTTCGGCGTGATCTCGCTCACTCCGAAGAAGTCCACCATCTCGGGCGCGCGGTACATCTGCGTCGTGTACTTCTCGATCTGCTCTTCCTCGCGGTCCACGTCGTCCTTCGTCGCCAGCTTCACCGTGCCGAACACCACCGACCCGAAATCGATCAGCTTCCAACGACCGTCCTTCCCCTGCATCACGTTCTCCAGCTTCAGATCGCGGTGCACCAGAGGAGGGTTCTGCTTGTGCATGAAGCCGATCGCGTTCACCAGATCGTACATCATCTCCCAAATGTCCTGCTCGGGAAGGTACTTCTTGTCCTTCTCCAGCACCTTCAGGTAGTCGAACAGACCGATCGGACACAGCTCCATCAGCTCACGAGCCTCCCAGCCGCCGGGAGCCTTGCGCTTCTGCAGAGCGTAGATCTTCGCAATGTTCGGGTGGTCGCGCACAATACGCAGCACCTTGAACTCCTTATCCAACAGCTTCTCCATCTCGGGGGTCTACCATCACACCCAATACGCTCCTCTTACCTTGCAATCCATTCTCTTGAGCACGTACTCCTTGTACGTGTCCTCGTCCATCGCCTGGTACACAATAGCGTAACCTCCCTGTCCCAACTTCTTTTTCAACTGAATCACACGGTGACCCATCTTTAATCTTCCCAAAATCTGGGGCTGAGCAGTTTGCTTATTCTCGGTGGCCGGAGCGGGTTTACTCACGTAAGCTCTTCTTGCGGGCTTCTGGTCCTTGTTTCCTAAAATTCCTTCCTTCAAACGGAGCATTGAAACAATCAGTAATCCAAAATTTGCAATAATTCAATTCATGTCGATATCATTCCGAAAGTCGTTCATTGGCTGAACCAAACCAGAAACTCGATATTTGGAATTCCAATTCTGTATTCTCATACAGAAGATTGTTGTTTATTATGCTCTCGACTCTATCCAGAGTTAAGATCCCTAGTAGACAAATCGTTTGCGTTAGTCGGTTGATCACCCACGGAAGTGATGTAATGTTAACGGACTGGTTGTAAATCTAGGTATACCGCTGTTATCACCTCGTTCCAGAACGCCAGAAGAGGAATTTTATGACGACTCCTCCCAGGCAAGGGCTTTTTGGAGCTCTTATACTCGTCGGTGGGTGTGCGTGGACGTACAACTATTTTAAGAGAGTCAACGTTGGATATGGAAGTGATCTTTAGATGAGTTATTATCAACGTGGTATGGTGCCTCCTCCTCCGGAACCCTTTCTTGTAGTCGTTGGTAAGGCTTTTATATTCCTAATGACTCTTCCCTTCTCTTTGCCTATGATGTTAATGAGACTGCGAGAAAGGTTTTCTAAGAATTCTCAGTCTCAGTACTGGAATCCATTTGGGGGAGAGCAGGAACAGGATTACCAGAACTATCAGAACTATCAGAACTACCAGAACTATCAGAACTACCAAGACCGTCAAAATCACCAAAACTACCAAGATGGAGCTCAGTATAGCTCAAATAGCTCAAATCAGGGATATGGAAAACGCATGGTGTGGACTTATGTTCCTGGCTTCGGCTGGCGTTATACCGAAGTGAATTTCGGCCCGGAGGAGGGAAGGAACTAGTAAAATGCAACCAACCGGTTTCATAGCGTAGTTCAAACTCACACAACTACCAAGAGTTCTACCAAAACTTTGAAGACTTCTTCAAAAACTCATACGAACAGTATTATAATCAGCACAGACAGGGACAACAACAACAACAACAACAACAAGGGTGGAGTTATGAAGATTTCTTCAATGGAGGGAAATCTGGAATGACTCGGCAAGAAGCTTACAAGGTTCTAGGATTAAAGTAGACGTTCTTTGTACTAAGGACATAGGCCGAATGCAACGAAGCAGGAGATTAAACTCGCTCACAAAAAGATGCTCATGAAGTATCATCCGGATCATGGAGGCACTACAGAGATGGCAAGCAAGATTAACCAAGCTCGTGATGTTCTTTTAGGCCTGAATTAGAGTGTTTGTCACAAACAGATCACTTTACAGAAAAGCTTTCACCACAACCGCACGTAGACGTTGCCTATAAATGACAGGGCATACAAGAACAAACTAAAGGATTATCAAAAACAAACTCGGCCGAAATATCGTCTTCTTTGAAATCGATTTTTGTGCCCAGAAGGTACATTAGAGAATCGGCATCCACAACCACCTTAATGCCTAAAATGAACGCACACACAGAAACAAACCATTTTGCTCCACAATCTCATCGAAGGGACCTTCCTTTCCAGGTTCGCAGTATTTCATAACATATTTGTTTCCATTACAACCCTCTACGAATCAATACGATGAACCAACACTACTCGTGGTGGTACTCAATAGAAGGCCCGTACCAGCAGGCTTCTTTGATAATAACTCGCGAACGCGATTTTCCGCAGCTGTAGTCTAGGACTAATCCAATATGGGAAGACTAACCAGTGTAACGGCAGGTTCTTTCCCTTTCAATTCTCTTTTAGGCGCCTTGACTCCGGAATTGATAACCTTCGTAAAAGAGCGGCTAAAAATCGGAGTCACAAGTCTAGTAGAGGAAACAAAGCGGTACATTTAATAAAATGATGCTCCAAGTCAATGGAACTCCAAAAATAGGATCTATTTTCCTTGTGGAAGTGATCAAATGAGTCGATTCTTGCAACAAACAGGAAAATAAATGTTCAGAATGACTCCCTGACGTTTAGGGTTAAGAACATTCACTGTAAGAATAGGACCAACTTCATCATTTGAAAACGAAACGGTCACTTTTTTCGGATTGGCGTAAAACCCAATATCACAAGAAACATATTCTCTCAATACGTTCTAGAGGTAAAAAACAAGGAGAACAACTGTACATTGGAATCAGCAAGATAAACTACAAATCCACTTCCACCAGTACTCGAATCACCATCAAGCCAGCAGATGCGGATCATCTCTTTGGTGCACTTTTGAGGGAGATAGATAGTGTACACCTTCAAAGCGTCCTTGTTGCAGATAGAATACTTACACCTCTGGAGAAGAGAGTTGAAAAAAGGCAAAAACTCAGTGATCGCACTACGAGATCAAACAAACGAATAAACGTTACTTCGAAACGTATGTCATCGTCCTAGCAACGTGGTCTTTATCCAACAGGTACTGAACACCCGCGAACACAGCTCCCCCGATCAGCAGAGTATAAACAGATATGCTCGAAATCTTATTCACCACAAACGCAGCAATTGGAAGTGTAAGGAAGTTCGAAAAAGGAATGAGGTTCTGAGTGTCTTCATTCTCTTCCAAATACCGGAGACCCACATACCCAACCACTGTGGGAACAAAGCCAAACAACCCAAAGGACAAAATAGTATTACCAGCACCAACATAGATTCTGGAGTCGCAGAACGGACTGTAAGAGGCTAAGTTGGGAAGAAGATTGTTCAGGTTGATATTGCTATTGCCAATAGAAATCGACATCCCACAAACAACACTTTTTTGCATTTATTGAACAAACAACACAACTACTCTGTTCTTTTTTTGACTTTTCTCTATACTCCGCCTTTCCTGCATTGATTGCCTCGTTAAACTACACATGATTCACACCGTACAATTTCTACCATTTGCGACAGCTTCTTATCGCTTGGATCTATTTCGCATCCTTGATAGAAGGAAGTAGCGGCGTCTACGTATTCCTTCCGCTCAAAAAACACCATTCCCTTTCGGTAATACCCTCTACACCACTTCGGCTGCAATCGAATGCATGTCTCCGCTTCTTCCATGGCTTTATCCAATTCTCCCATCTTCAAATAGCAAGAACTCAAATTGCTATGCAACCTACGCGTCACCTCCTTCCTTTTCCTCTACACGACATCGCCCGGATTCAATTCCAGCGCTTGGATGAACAAATCCTTCGCAGAACTCCACTGACTCGCATTGAATCGCTTTACTCCCTCCACCTTCATCTGGTGAAGTTGCACCGCTTGCTCAGCAGTCAAATCCACTTCTGGATTCGTTTTTTCTTTTTCTTTCTCTGTGTCTGCTTCTTTTACAGGTTCGGGCGCTTTAAACTCCTCCATCAGCTCCGAAACGGTTTTTCCTGCCATCGACGTCGTGAATGGAAGCAGCAGCTCCACGATCTCCGCGTGCTTCGCTCTCGCCGCATACACAATGGGCGTTTCATTCTTCGAATCGCCGAAATTGGCGGTCTGTTGAATGGACGCGTGCTCTGTAAACGCTTTCACGGACGGCAAATGGCCTGCATCGCTCACGACATGGAGAGCCGTTTCGCCGTCTGGGAGTGTGATCAGCGGATCGGCTCCGCTGTTTAGAAGCAGCGAAATCGCTGCTGCGTTTGTGTTGATGGCTGCGTAGATGAGAGGAGTGAGGTTTTGCTCGTCTTTGAGGTTCACATCGGCGTGGCATTGGAGGAGAAGCGGTAAAACGGGGTTGCGAGAGGAGGCGCAGGCGTGATGGAGAGGCGTTCCGTGCGATTGCGGAGTGATTAAGTTTACATTGGCGCCCTTTTCGAGGAGGAGAGTTAGGATCGGAAGCGAGCTCTGGTCGACAGCTTTGTGGAGAGCAGGAACTCCGGTTGATGGGTTGAGTTCGGCTCCGGAAGCGATTAAAAATGCAGCCATGTCTTTGAAATCGCCAATGCAAGCATGGACGAGGGGAGAATAGCCGTTGTCATCTTGAACATTGATCTAGAATTTAAAAAACTAGAAGGGGAGTGCAAACAGATTCCGGGTCGATTTCTAAGATCCATTTGACAGTGTCGAGATGATTTCGACTGACTGCGAAATGGATCGCTTTATGCCCTTCTCCATCACTCAGCTCTCTCATTAAAGACAGTAAACTCGACACCTTCCCTTCACGAACTAGAGTTTCTCCTAGTTGCTTTACTTCCTCACAGGATTTTTCTATAGGATAATTGGTCATCCTCAGATTCTTACCACATATCGTTTTGATCCATTCGACAAAGAACTTCTTCTCTTCACCATATATCTTCCTTTTATCAATTTCTACCTAGTTTTTAGATTGCAACAAATAGGGATACAGTTTGTTCACTCATGTTTTTCAAAGAATATGCTAGTTTGGGCAAAAGTTCTGGAAGGTTCGATATCGCGAAAGAAAAAAAGGTGATTCTAAAAGGGCGTGAATCACTGTATTCAGAACGATAATGGTTTGTATGAGGGAGTGGAATTGGGAAGTTTTCAAAGGAACCCATTCCTATTTACAAATTGCACGATTGAGTACGAATCACTTTCCACTGAAAACACAAGAGTTTTGGGAATCGCTTTCTTTCGCTTCAGAGCACATTCTGTCGATTCTATGATTGCTTATTTACTCCATCAGAGTAGTAAACAAGCAAAACTCGTTCAGCGTTCGTTTTCGACTCTTTCTCGAGTAAACGTTAGATCATTGAATACAACAATAGATTAAAAGTGTATTTGAAGTAGAGAATCCATCGAACTCGAGCAAATCCAATTTGTTTCCATTGATCGGTTCTTCAATTGTCTATGATGATAACGAAGAGGTAAATTTTCTATTTTCGTCACTCTTCTATAGGAATTACGATATCCATCGGTTTCGACTTCCATTTGCGATATGAAATATGAAAATCCACCCAGCGACGATCTTTCTCAGCAATTCAAACAATCAATACTGCAATACTTTTTGGGAGAAGGACTTTACAAGTCTCTCACCAATCGACTTCTATTCCTCCCCACCGCGGGCGTCAAAACAAACAACCATGCAGCCAGCATCTTTCTGGCAACAAATGGTCTTTGTTCTCGCGTGTTCATTCCTTATCCGTCCTCTCCCCAATTCCAGCGAACGCTTCGAATCAACCGAATCAAATCGAACGACTACCGCTTCGTGAACTATCGAACAGGCTTCCTCAACTTCGCCCAAATGCTAGAAGACTTCTACTTGTGTCCGAATGAGTCTTGTTTCGTCGTGAATGTTCCCGGTTGTTTCCCCACCGGATTGTGTTTGAACGAAACCGAATGGAACGAACTCTTCAAATGCTGTGTTGAGAACCATCACATTCTGTGGTTTAACGCTTCCCATTTGGGACTACGAAGCGGAAACGGCTTCGTTGACTTCTCCCCCATCCGCGAATGCATCAAGCTCCACATCGACTGCATTCTCTCGCTCGATTTGGAGAGCTCGCTGATGCTCCCAGGATTGGGAGCTTCGGCGTTGGCGGTTGTGAGCGGAGACGACAACGAGAGCGATTTTCTCTCCGGAATGGGAAGAGTGGTTGACGGCGCTTCGCTGTACGGAATGAAACTTTGCTCGTCGTTTTTTAGCGATGAAAAGAAGGTCGAGGAGTGGTGAGTTCGGTTGATTTGATGGACTGTAGGGAAAGCGAATGTGGGGAGCAAGTCAAGCGATTTGCTTCGATCCGAGCGCAGCTTTGTGAAGGGAACAAGGATTCATTGGCGTTTCTGACTCGGCAGGAAGGTCCGTTTGCCTTGCTTCCCTTCTCTCGAAAGAAACTGCAAAGCCTGAACGAATCGGCGGGTCTTCCCATCGACGGAATACTCAATCTCTCGAGTCGATTTCGTTGCATTGTTTCATTCCCAGGTTTAACAACGGACACGCTTCCATTTCTCCGCGAACTCCTTCAAAGCAGTGCGAATACAAGTCGTAGTCACAGCTCCTTTCCATCCTATTCTTCTGTTTCTTGAATTCACTGCAACAAACAATCCACTTTAAATCCTCATTCATCTTCTTCTCCACCGTCTCCATGTCATCCAGCGAAATCGGCTCCACTTTCATTCCGAACTCGCTCATTCCCTGAATCAGCTCCGCTTCCTTCTCGTTCTCCACCAGCGTGATCGACACGCCCTTCTTCCCCATTCGTCCCGTTCTTCCCGATCGATGCAGCAGCGTCTCCGAGTCCTACTCCTCACTCTCTCTCTCCCTCTCCTACAAACTTCTTCCCCTCCATCGGCAGATCAAAATTCACCACCAGCGTCACGTCCATCACGTCGATTCCGCGCGCCAACACATCCGTCGAGATCAAAACCTTCGTCTTCCCCTCCCGGAACGCCTTCAGCGTCTCCTCCCGCTTCTTCAAATCCATATCGCCGCCACGCAGCACCTCCACGACGTGTCCCTTTCCTCGCATCCACTCGCCCAACCGGTCCGCGACCGCGCGTTGGTTCACAAAAATGCACGTTTGTCCCACGTCCAGCACGCGGTACACCTTCTCCAACGCTTCGCACTTCGCCTCGAACCCGCCCGCCATCACCGAGTACTGCGTTTCACTCATTCACTGGGTTGGTACCATGTGTACGGTTCGGAGCCTCAAATCCGCTGCGGTTTTGCGGATTTCGATGGCTTGCGGCGCGATGCTGCGAGCGAATCGCATGACCTTTTCGTTGAATGTGGCGGAGAAGAGGAGGATCTGGAGAGGCAGCTGCATCGCGGTGAAGAGAGAAACCATGGAGCGAATGTCCGGAGCGAAGTGACGATCCTCGAGGACATGATCTGCTTCATCGATGACCAAACACTTCAGATGGCTCCAGTTGTATCGCATGGATTGCACTGCGTTCTTTACGGAGTCCGTGCTGCCGATTACGACTTGCGCGGAGGAATTGAAGGGAATGCCTTTGAGCGAGCAGGTGCACTCGATAGAGGTCTGGCTGACGAGCTTGCGACACACCTCAGCGATCTGCAAGGCGAGCTCGCGCGCGTGGACCAGAATGAGAACTTGGGGGAGCTTTACGTTCTCATCGATATAGGAAACGGAGCCAAGGAGGAAACAGATCGTCTTTCCACTGCCGTTCTGAGCCTGAACGATAATATGATGACGGGGCCTAGAGGAAATGTGGGAAATCGTTCGTACTGGCTGAGAATATAGGGAATCGCCTGAGCTTGAATTAAAGAGGGACGATTAAACCCCAGCACTTTATATCTAAAGAATTAGATAAAAACCGAAGAGGAATACAAGGCATCGATAAAGCGAGGGTCAAGACTCATCTGCTCGAAGGAAGTTGCTGCTAGAAGTTGGTTTTCCGAGGTCACATACAGGCTTGTGTCCTCATCTAACAAGTTTGTGTTCTCAGGCATGTTTGAGCCCTGCGCGTTCGCTCCCTTTACTAACTTTTCTTCAATCTCCTCAGGGTTATACGCATAGGCGTTCGCCTTCATCTGAACTCCAGACATGCCTTGCGCGTTTCCTTGCTGTTGCTGAATATTGAAATAGGTGCTCATAGTCTACAAATTACCTCTTCCTTAAAAAGTCACAATTCCACAATACTAACAACAGAATTGTAGTAATCGTAGTAGTAGGTGTCACATCTCACTCTTTACCCCCCAATTCCCTGTTGAAAACAAACAAAGCAAACAACACTATCCAATTACGATTGACTTAGTCGCAACGGAACGCCTCTCCATACTTTTGCTGAATCTCCGCAGCACTCTTCCGTCCCAGCTCCACATACTCCGCAGCGCTGTGCTCCAAACTCTTCTTCTTCTCCTCCGTCAGTTTGCGTACAAACCGCGCAGGGTTACCGGTCCACAGCTACATCATCTCACACATCATCCCTTTCCTACCTCTCCCGAAGGAATCTCCTGCTGCTTCTCCACCACGGAGCCAGCTCCCACCATGGAATACGAGCCCACATGGCAACCCTCCTCCAGTATGGCGCCCATGCCGATGAGCGAGTAATCATCCACCTGGCAGGCGTTGAGAATCGCGGCGTGGCCGATCGTGACGTTGTTTCCGATCTTCAGGGTTCCGTCGCTGCAGTGGCTCTTCTTGGCAGAGGCCAGCACGGCACGATCCTGAACGTTCGTGTTCTCTCCGATCGTGACAGTGTTTATATCACCTATGCAATGAGCACCTTCTAAATGAATATAAACCTCGAACGACCGCATTGTACCACACAGAAGAACCAGCAGCCATTTTCACGTCTCCAATTACGGAAGCATTGGGAGCAACAAAAGCATCGGTATTTACAGCGGGACGCTTATCATAAAGTCCCATAATCGGACGGTGGCGAGAGACTAAGTGATAAGCCCACCAAAAGCTACAGCTACATAATTTCAAAAAATCCTGGACGCCTTCCATTCTCATTCCCGCTCTTTCCAGAGCTTGGCCTGTTTCGGATACTGCTTTTCCTGTCTAGCAATTATCTTTATAGATGGGTCCATCATACCTCAAATGCTAACTTTCTGAACATAGCTATGTGTCTTTATAATAGAACGGAGAATAAATTGATCAGGGCCCAACTTGAGTCCCTTTATTATATTAATAGGGGCCCATACAAGTATTGTACTACAGTTTATTTTATTTTTGTATCCTGTGTACTAGGAATAGTGTATGTGTAGAGGACACTATGGGGGAAAGAGATGTGGAATGGGGCAAACGATTTTGTGCTTTTCTAACGGATTCTGAAAGTTCTATGCATAGAGAAGTGGAATATTGAATAGGTAAAACAAAGGGTAGCGTAATCACCGAGTTTTACACACATATAGGTTTTTTTTGTATCTAGGGATATTATTTACTAAATCACTCAATAATCTATGTTAAGTACAACGCAATCTCTTTCAGATCACAATTACAAAAATCGGCACTATTTCATCCACAACTCAAAATCAATTAATTCGAATAGGAATGCCTCCTCTGACAAATAAAAAGTTCATTACGGAGTTGGGGAGAATGAGCAACTCTGTTAATTACACAGGAGCGATATCAATTACGTTTAAGCGCTGTTTGTGCTGTTTTCCTTCTTCATTCGTAGATAATGCAGATGTAAATTGCTTCCCTTCAAAGAAGAAAGCAGAACCAGATATGAAAAAGAATCGTTGTCTTGTGCGTGCTGTTTCTCCTCGTAAGAAAATTACCACAATCGTAAGCCCTTTTCGATTCATCTTAATGTATAGGTTGCTGCGAAGGATGTTCCATCGTTTAGTAGAGCTATCAATGGTGTGTTGCGAGTATTTTGTGTTGGAAATGGCTTATCTACAGGGAAGTATTACGTATTTGAAGAAGGGACAACGTAAAGGAAGAAAAGCGAGTCAATAGTATGCACGTTGTAAAGTAGAGACTGAGGTGGGTTATATCTTTGTTTGTTCTTATTGGTTCATTATAAATTTTGATTTTCACAACGTTTCCAGATTGGAGTGGTACCATGGCAGAGTTTCTCTTTCCAACAAACACGCGATTGAATAAATTGAAACGAGGAACTGTCTACATATACAACAGCCGGATAGGTGTACTGGCCAACATACGAACACACACTCCCTACGACTGGTGCATCTTTCACATGCATCGTGATGTGGATGCGATTCTTCCCTGGGAATGCAACGTATTGGCTCAGTTTCACTGTGTCTTCGAGCATCACACCTCTCCTTTTCAGTTGGAGGAGTTCAGGAGGCACATTGAAGCCATTGGCCAGTGCTGCCCGAATCTCATAGATATATGTGTTTCCATATGCGAATATACATTTTTCTTTTGACTTCTTAACGATTTGATTGACTGCAACGCCTGCAATGACGGGAATCAGAACCAGGCCACCCGTGAGAGCGACTGCTGCTGCAGTAACTCCAGCACCTCCAAGCTGTCGATTTCGTTTCTGATGATGCGAATTGTCCTCCACATATACAGAAATCAGAGGTCCTCGTGGCTGCTCGATGGGAGGGAAAACAGAATACTGTTGAATGAATTGGGAATCGGCACTGTAACTTGTGTTCATTGTAGCTAGCTCATTGGGAATGGTAGGAAATGTGGGAGGTGGGTGAACAGGAATTACTGGAATTGCGGGAACTCCATGAGAAATTGGTTGAGGAGGAGGAGGAGGGGGCATAGGAGGTAGTTGCGGTTTTGGTGGGATGGGAGGTACTGGTTGCGTCTGAGGAATGGGAGGGATTTGGGAAACAGGAGCAGGTTGAGGAGGAGGAGCAGATATTTCAGAGAAAGAAGGAGGAACTGACACAACGACCACAGGAGGACGTTGAGTTTGCTGGGTTGTATAATAGCTTGATTCCTCGGTAGTAACCACAGTTTGGTCGCAAGAAGTCATGCTTTCGGTCATCGAGTTGTAAGGCGGCACATCATAAATATTAGAAACAGATTGGTACGGATAGTTCATTATTTCTGTGCTTTTGCTAAAGAGGGATATTGTTTGTTGGAACACGATATTTGTATTCCCGTGCAGAACTTGTCTATTCGTCTTTATCAATATCAATATCGATTTTCATCGGAAATATAATATATAATATGTGTAACTCAACGTTTCAACGAATTTCTCCTTTTGAATGTTGACAGAATCTCATTAAAATGTTTTGGACAACGCGTTGTACTTTGTGGTTAATTCTTCTAAACTTCGTGATCATAGCTTGTGTAATATCAATGTCTTTCTCGCTAGGAAAGACTCAAAATGAACTAAATAGCAAGCACAGCACATATCTCCGCTCTGCTATTAAGAGAGATGTTATCATGAGTGAAGATGAATATTTCAACCAGTATCAGCGCTTTTCTATTGTGATTGTAACGTTCAATGAGCCTATGATGGAAAAAACATATCCTATCGATAAACCGATGATGTTCTTGACAATCTAATGTACTAAATGTCTTGGAGAATACTCCTGTAAAACGTCTAAAGGAAATCGTTCTTCTCGATGACGCAAACGATCCGCCGATTACTTGGAATCCAGATCCAAAGCGTGTTCGGATTGTTCGTTCCGGTATTCACTCTAATCGCCCTTACCAACTCTAGATGAACGACTTGGACTTATTCGTGCTCGAATTATGGGTGGAAATGCAGCTACCGGTGATTTTATCGTTTTCCTGGATGCTCACTGTCGAGTCAGTCCTCGCTGGTTGGAAACTCCCTACAATCTTCTCGTTGAAGTATGCATTTATCACCCTCTCCAAGTCAGAATTCTCGAACCATTGTGAACTTTGTCGATTTCATTCTTGATGAAAACTTCAATGTCAAGCCAGCCCTTGCTGGAATTGGCAGGTATCTTCTCTATTCTTTTCTTCCCTAGTTCCGCGACTATCTACAAGAATCTTCGTCAATTCTGGGGCGGCGGCTCCGAGACGGACGACTACACGCCGATCACCATGGGAATGTTCGCAATCACCAAATCCTGGTGGCAGCAGGGACAAATGGACCCAGCTCTGGACGTCTGGGGTGGCGAAAACGTCGAGATTTCGTTCCGCACGTGGCTCTGCGGAGGCCGCATTATGGTAGCGCGCGACGCGTACGTGGCTCATTATTTCCGAACCAAACCGACGTATAAAGTAGTGTAGAGAGCGAAGGACTCAGAAATAGTACAATCCGATGGTGGTGGTACAGAATTACAAGCGGATCGCGCAGGTGTGGCTGGACGAACCGCGTCGACGCGAGTTTTACAAGGAGTATGAGATTCCGTATGAGGAGGCGAAGCTACGGGAGGAAGTGGGAGACATTTCGCAGCGATTGGCGTTGAAGAAGAAGCTGAAGTGTAAGCCGTTCGAGGAGTATTTGGAGCAGTTTAAGGGACGCGTGTGGTGTTCGAAGGGTGAGAGAAAGGGAGGAAGGTGAGGCGTAGGAACGAATTGTGGAACGGTGTATTCGGTGAAGCCGAAGGATATCAAAGCGAGTGTGCAGGAGATTTTTAATATTAAGGAGTGGAGTGTTTGTTGGAAATGAGTACCTTTGTAGTAGTAGTAGTTGTTGTGTGTATACATTTGGGGAGTAGAAGGATTGAATTTGAGAAAGAAATAAGGATAAATACAATCGATACTCGTGGAGTCGCAGATTAAACTAATGTGAGTTTTTTATTGCTGCACTCAATCATTCGTGAATACGCATTCAATGAATCACTGTTCTTCATAACACTTAATGACCTATGATTCTTCACCATTCGATTCCCCATCAATCCCAAAGACTTTCCCCTTCCGATTCCTCCCTTTCTCCACACGTTCCTTCAACAAACACACACAAACCACAGGAAAATTCAACTAAACTTACCGCGAACTCAGCACTTCCTTCTCTATCCGATCTGCTTCCTCTAAAATCGAGTCGTCCAACAGAGAATCGAAGGCTGCGTCCGATCCTCTTCTCACGAGTGACGGGGAATTCGACATAAGCGAAGATGGAAGCGTGCATTCTGTTGGCTCTTGAATTGTTGAGACGTCTGTAGAAGGATTTTGCAAGGTCGATGATAATGGAGTGAAGAGATAGGCAGTTCGACGAACACGCTTTGGAGTCTCGATTAAGGGAGGAAGCGAAATGTCCAGGATCGAAAGACTTGGATCTTGAATAGACTGCATTTGCTGCGTGAGGGAAAGATCCGTATCCGTGTTTGGAATGGACGCGTAAGCGTCATGCAGACCCGAAGAATTGTTTTCCATTTGCCGATTTCGATTTACCATCAACACAGAGTGCATCTCCTCTTTCACATTGTATTCACTAGGTTTCAGACCCAACAATTCAATGTACGCTTGGTCATCACTCAGAATATGCTTCTTTGAGGGACTTCCCCAAATGATGTCCTCCGATTCGTCCGTCTCTGAGCTTTCCTCGTTATATGCCGACTGTTTGACTTGCTTCAAGGGAGATCCAGAAGCTAGCTCGATTCTCCGAACTCGTTTCCTTCGAATCTTGTAACTACCATGCTCTCCAGGCGATTTTGCAGTGTTTTCACCATCCTGAGAAGTAGAAGCTGGCTTTGCTAGGGGAGGAGATGAACCTTTTGATGAAACGGAAGCAGACTTTTGAGTAAGTATATTTTTTCGCAACAATAGTTTTACTTTTGATGAATTCTAGGAACTAAGCGAGATTGGGAAAACCACTACAGTTGGGACGGAAAGAGATACCGATGCATTCACCGTGGCACCAGCACTCATTCTCTACAGTTACAAGAACTTTGAACTTTGATCGCTTTGAAAAAGTGAAAAACAAATTGCAAGAATGATTAAAATTGTCAATATCCAGCAATTCCGAGGAGTAAGCAAATAGTAGTTTGAATCGCGTTTGTGTGCAACTCCTAACACTTTACAGAATACCACTACGTATAAGATGGAATGAGAAATACAGAAATCGAATGAGGAGAATGGTACAGAGTCGATTTCGTTATTGTGTTTTCTAACACATTTTAGTTTCTCGTACGAAATATGTTTGGAAAACAATGAATATCACCCTTGGATAGCGGCATGGGATCATCCAGGTGAAACTCCCGAGTACTACAATATACAATTTAATTCTTTTGAAGATGAACGGTCCTTTCTGTCATAGTCTATGATGAGTAGAAATCAGATATTTTAAGAAGGAGCGAAATATGCTAGAGTTTATCGCTACCGAAACTGAAACGGTCATGAAAAAGCGAGGATGCACCGAACTCGACAGAGAAGGAGTCCGTGTGTTACTAGAGGTATGGAGTTGCAGCAAAGGCGTGATTTGCTTAGCGTTTACACAATGGGGTAAGACCTACTGAGGATACTCTAAACCTTTTTTTCCAAAACGGAAACAGCACCGTTAACTTGGATACTATTCGGAATGTGATCTTTTCTTCGTTTTTTCGCTTCTTTGCTTTAATTCTTAGTGTGCAGATTCCCGACGTGCGAATCACCCCCAGCACCATTTTCCCCGAGGAGCAAACACGGAGTTCGTTTTTATCATTGCCTTCACCCACAGTCGCTCCATTCCGTTCTCCAGATGTCTCTTCCATACGCTACGACGACATTGATTTCGTTCAGGAAAGGAGTGGAATTCTCCGCAAATCAGTAGTCATGTGCAAGTCATGTGACATTTAGTATAAAAGTCTTTTGGGTTTTTCAACTCACACTCGCTACTGCGTGGTGGATAGTGTACCCTCTTCTCTCCCCGTTCTCCCTCTCTAGCAATCGTTCTCGATGTACGACAAAACGACGCGCGACAACCTCACGAAAAGCATTCCTCTGGAAGACATTCTCGCCATCACCAAGGACGTTTCCCCTCTCTTTCTCTTTTTCTCACTCGCAGAAAGAAGACAAGAACGGCTTCTGCTTCACGCTGGAGCTCGACGAGAAGAACTCCACGTTCTATTGTCTGGATGAGAACAGTCGGGATGAATGGGTTCGCTCCATCGCCTCCTTCTGCCTTCTCCGCATGGTCACTTCCGATCTCAGCTTCTCCGCAGAGCGTCTCCAAGCGTTTCTTCTCTTCTTATTTCTCCTCATCACCTAGCCTGGTCGCCATCGGCGCCAACGTGAACAGCAGCTACGGTCGAACGGACCCCAAGCCCGTTCTCTACTATCTTCTTCGCCATCATCACGTCAACGAAGCGATCTGGCTTCTCTCGCGAGGAGCCAAGGCCAACTGCTTGCTGCGCTGGGAGTTCATGGTGCAGGAGCGACTGATGACCGCGAAGGAGCTGCTGCAGCTCATGGAGACGGCGAACATCAAGCTCTCGACGAAGAGCGACGACGGGTTCAAGTTCTACATTCTGCACTATCTGTGCTACTTCGGCGAAGTGGAGGAAGTGCGCCGCCTGAGCACCTACGGCGAGTTCCAGGAGCTGGCGTACAACACGACGGAGACGAACGATATCGCGCTGACGATCGCGCTGCTGACGCCGTTGGTGGACGAGGAGCGCAAGGTGCAGCTGGCGACGCTGCTGTACGGAACGAGCAACCTGGCGATCAGCAACAACAACAACCAAAACCCCGTGCAGTTGGTGATCCTGATGGGCCGCGTGGGCCTGCTGTTCCGCATGCTGTCGCACTCGAACAACGTGCGATCGGACCGATACCACAACACCATTTTGCACCTCGCGATCAAAGCGGGTCTGATCACCGTGGCGCGGTACATTCTGCGCTACGTGAACTTCGGCAGCATCGATCAGGGAGACAACATGAACGATACTGTATTGACGCTGGCGATTAAAAAGGGCGAGGAGGAGCTGGCGTGCGAGATCGTGAAGATGAACGCGGATGTGTCGAATCGATGCCTGGACTGGAACATGTCGCAGTCCAACAATGATCACGTGCTCCACCAATGTTTGAAACGCGACATGCAGGATCTCAGCTGCGAGATCTGCGCGCATGCTGGCGGGATGCTGACGAAGGACACCAACGGCGATCTTCCTCTGCACATCGCGCTGAACCGCAAGCTGGACAAGGTGGTGAACTATCTGATCAACCACGAGAGCAAGTCGCTCTACATCAACGAGCGCAATGAGCGTGACCTCGACACCCCGCTCCACCTCGCGCTCAAACTCGGCTATTACAACCACTCCATGGCTCTCTTACAAAACGGCGCCGGCGTGAGCATCGTCAATCGCGAAGGCCTCACGCCGTGCCATATCTTGATGATGGTCGCGAAGAACGACTATCAGTCCATCGCGAAGGAGCACATGTCTCCCGAGCAGATCATCGCGCTCATGCAGACCATGCTGAGCCTCAGTCCCGATCTCGAGATCCTCTCGGAGCCCACAGCGGAAGGAGGAAAAGAAACCTGTCTGCATATCGCGATTCGAGGAGGCGCCGCGACGCAGAATCTGGCGCTGCTGTGTCTGCAGTACCGTCCGGAATTGGCGAAGCTGCGCGACAGTCGAGGCAACACGCCGCTTCTGCTCGCAGTGATCAACCAGAACTACAAGCTCGTCTGCGCCTTGTGCGACGTGCAGAGCGATCTGAACGTGATGAACGCGGACCGCAACACGCCGCTGCACATCGCCGTGGAGTCGCAGAACTACGATATCGTCTCTTTGGCCCTGCTCTCTCATTGCTAGGTGAAAATCCTCGTCGATCGCGGCTCCTATCTCTGCTTCTGGAACGCGGAGGGACTCTGTCCGATCCACATCGCCGTGCAGAAGAAGAACGTGTCCATCCTCACGCTCCTCTGCTCCATCTCCCACGTCAATCTCCGAACGCGCAACGGTCTCACTCCCTACATGATCTGCTGCCAGAACGGCTCTTCCGCCTGTGCGTCGTATCTGCTCAACCAGGGCGCGGATCCCTTCCTTCTCAGCAACGATCTCTTCTCCTGCCTCACTCTCCTCGCCACGGCGATCCGCCAGGCCGCCAACCGCGCCGATTTCGCGCTCATGGCCAAGTCGATGGCCACCTTCGCCGATCAGTACAAGCTCGACTGCTTCGGCGACCTCAAGATGATCAACGGCGACGTCGAGACCATTCTGGACTGCGCCACGCTCGCCGAAGGCATGGAGGAGGAGCCCATCCCCCAGACCTCCATGTACGACACCGAAGGTCCGTCTCTTTCCTCGCCTTCCCTCTAGACCACTACGACTACCCCGCCGACTACTCTCCTCAGCCCCAGCCCTTCGCGCAGGACCTTCCTCCCAAGAACGCTCCGCTCGACATGGCGCAGCCGCTCGCGCCCGAGTACTACGCCTCCGCGCAGCCCGCCGACCTCGCCGCCCCCACGTCGACCGCGCTCCCCGTCGAGGTCCTCGACCCTTCCCAGTCGCTCCACGCCGTCGAGGACCTTCCTGCCGACGCGCCCGCGCAGCCCGTGCAGTCTGCTCAGCCCGTGCAGGCCGCGCAGGCGGCGCAGGCCGCGCAGGCGACGGTCGGTGCGTCGGCGAGCAACACGATGGACGCGATGCAGACGGGCAGCGTGGCCGCGGCGCAGCGCCGCGCGGAGTTGGAGCAGGCGGTGCAGTGCGATGCAGAGAGGGAGAATGAGGCGTAGAGAGCGCGAAGCGGCGCTGAAGACGCTGCGCGATGAACTGGCGGCGGTGGATCAGGAGAAGCAGGCGAAGTCGAATCAAATCATGGAGGAGACGCGCACGCAGCTGGACAACTATGTGACCACGCCGCAGGGACAGGCGAAGCTGAACAAGGCGGTGGATATGCTGATCTGCAAGGGCAAGCCGGCCCCGGAGGCGAGAGAACAGTCCTATTTGTACTTCTTGAAGAAGATGAGCTCGCAGAAGGAAAAGCGACTCGAGGAGGAGATGGATAAAAAGAAACAGGAAATTATGGACAGGATTACCCAGATGGAGAACGAGAAAATAGCCTTCGAGGAAGAGCTGAAGACGCTTTGATTTGTGTTAGTGTATTGTTAACTGTGTGCTGTTTGTTGAGAAAATGGTAGGGGAGGGTGCTTGCGACCTATGGCTAGAGCGACAAGCCGCAAACTCCAGGGAACGCTGAGATTGATGAAATCATGCAGCTGGTATGCATTCTCGCGGAATTTGATTTACGAATAGACTACGAGTCTCCTTACGCAGATGGTTCACTCTGTGTTGAGTGATGACTAATTTGTAGCAAAGTCGTTTCGAGGACATGTCTCAGACGATCCTTGGAAAAAATATCCTATTTTGGTTATGAAGAGACGAGTTTCTTGACAATTCACTTAGCGAGATGTCTTCACGAATCGATGAACTCGAGAAGGAAGTCGACCGTCTTGTAGTTCAAGTACTTGTGTTTTTGAGCGTTAATGGACTAGAAAAAGGATGTCGACGAGTTAGAGAAGCGGGTGAAGGAAGAGGAGAAAAAGAATTCAAATTTGCGTGTTTTTTTGAGACACGAAAACGATAACACGATGTTCGGAACCGATCGTTATAATCACAACACTTTCGAAAATGAATCAATACAATGAAAACAATCGAATCATCCGAGCGTTGTAAGATCCACCATTCTTTGCTCTTTTCTAGGTGCGCTAATTATGACAAGATTTTGCTATCTCTAGAGCGAACACAGCGATGTGGAGCAATATTGTCGTCATCGGCATTCATTACGCAACGAATTCCCTTACAAGCTGAACTATCTACAATCAACAACATTCTGCAGCAATGTAAGAACGAAATAATATCAGTCCTGCGTGACATCTACTCCCTGTTCTGCAATTCTCACTCCCTTCCTTCTAACGCATATACCTTACCGGAAAACGAAGTATCTACCCTGAAATATAAACTCATATTTTAGCTCGTATCAGAAATACTGAAAATATCCAACCAGCCCTTCTATTCACCAGAATCCCCAACAATCTCTTCAGTGGATAATTCGAATGAACTCAACATGACAGATAACTCGCCCTCTATCTTTCCTTTTCTTCCAGAGTCACAAATAGACGCTTTAAATATGTACGACTCCACAGATTTCACATATCCAAGCGACCCTTGGGATAATTTGTCACCCACTCAGCGTTTTCCGGATATAGCGATTCCACGCATTTCTTACCCAATTCCCGTTTCGATCTCCTCGACAAAAGAAAAGGAGATGGGAAGTCCCAATTCTCCTTTCGCAGTAGCTGCGAAACCTCCGGATTTTGAGACTTTTCAAATTGATGACGACAGTAAAGAAGAGGAGAAAGGGAGAAGAAAGAGAGGGAAACCTTCGCGAAAGCGGATGGTGGTCAAACAGGAATTGGATGATGAAGTAGAAACGAGAGGAAGATGAAGAATATCAGGGAGATGAAGATAATGAAGAGCCAGAAAAACGAAAACGAGGAAGACCAGTGAGATTTACATGCGTATAATGTGTGAGAGCATAGAGAAAGTCCTTGGGGTATCACGAAGAAAGGAAGTCAGCCATAAAACCCAAGTGGTGCCATCAATGTAAGGCGAAAAAACGCGATGTAATCCAATGTTGTGGAGAAGGAAAGACCCGAGGTGCAAATAATCAAGTGTTTGTATTTGGAATTAGATTGTCACATGCAGTTGTTTTCGTGCTTATTGTGCGAAATGTTTGAAGAAACACTATAACGAGGACTATGCAGAGATCAAGCGAAAGGGGAAGAAGTGGCTCTGTCCAGGCTGTCGTGATGCCTGTTCATGTGCTGCATGTGTGCGAAAGCGATATGCAGATCCTCGAGATATTCCGATTTCACTTCAGAAAAAACGCAACTCGAGATTCTTTAAAACAAATCGAATGTTAATTCAGAAAATTATTCATAGTGATCGATGAGGCAAAAGAGGTGATTGTTTGTTAAACAATAATGACAGAGATCGTAGATACCAAAGGGAGGTTATTGTTTGTGTAAGAATTGATAAAGTGAAATAAGCGTAGTGAAAAAGTGTATAGATCTCTTCGATTAATCATAATAAAACATAATGTGAGTTGGGCGAAACAAATAAGGAAAGCCACATATGAAGACATCACACTTATAACATTAATCGACTCATTCTTTCTTAGACGAATTTCTTTGCCAGAATATCAGAAACATCTGTTTATTAATTATAAATAACATAAACCTACTTGAGATTGATTTAGATCGTACAGAGTTAAATGATCCACACACATAAATACTGTCTAAATTAGGGATGTCTAGGTAGAATTGCAAGATAATGTAATACTTTCTAATATTATTGAATAACAGTTATTAAAATTATTAGAATTATAATTATACACCTTATTCAGAATCGGCAGATCTAAATGTTATCAAGTTGATTATCGATTGAGATACTTCGCATTATCAACGAGCATGATTCATCGTATGGTTTTCCACTAAGTGCAAACTTTCCAAGTGTAATACTTTTTAATGAAGGTAAGTCTATAAGATCATATTAGATAACTTCCATAAACTCTCTATTATTGTCATTACCGATCCAGAAAAAGAAGAGTGACCTAATGTAATGGATTGTAGATTTGGAAGATCTATGCATTACAAATATGCAATATCATATCAATACCTCGAATCTCAAATGAACTAGAACAAAAGTTAAATGATTTCGTTGCAATTGAACCAATTTGAATAGATTGTAATTGTGGTAGATTCTTCAATTCAAATTCGCCTCCAAAATCACTGAAACTATATTCACCAATTTGAATGGATTCTAATGATTCACAATTCAATATGTGGAATGATTTGCTGATATCACTATTTACTAGTATTGAAGTGTAGTATAAACGATCTCCCTCTCTTTTCTTTAATCCTGAAAATGAATTAGCACCGATGTTGATAGATTTCAATCGATTCAATCCATCGATTTGGAATGTTTGAACTGATTCAAAACATTCACTACCGATTTCGATTGATTCCAAATTGTCTAATGATGATAAATTCAATATTTTAGTATTATTAAACGTTTTATCACCTAATGTAATGGATTGTAGATTTGGAAGATCTATACATTACAAATATACAGTACTATATCAATACCTTCAATCACAAATGAACTATTAGAGAAATTATATGATCTACTTCCAATTGTCCCGATTTGAATGAATTGTAATTTTGGTAGATTCTTCAATTCAAATTCGCCTCCAAAATCACTGAAACTAAACTTTCCGATTTGAATGGATTTTAATGATTCACAATTCAATATGTGGAATGATTTATTAACATCACTATTTACTGAAATTGAAGAAGAATAGTAGTATATTCTCTCTGATTGATTGTTTTGTGTAAATGAATTCTTGCCGATTTTGATAGATTTCAATCGATTCAATCCATCGATTTGGAATGTTTGAACCGAACTAAAACAATCATTACCAATTTCAATTGATTCCAAATTGTCTAATGATGATAAATTCAATATTTTAGTATTATTAAACGTTTTATCACCTAATGTAATGGATTGTAGATTTGGAAGATCTATATATTAAAATTTTACATTATCATATCAATACCTTCAATCACAAATGAACTATTAGAGAAATTGCATGAATCACTTCCAATTGTCCCGATTTGAATAGATTGTAATTTTGGTAGATTCTTCAATTCAAATTCGCCTCCAAAATCACTGAAACTACATTCACCAATTTGAATGGATTTTAATGATTCACAATTCAATATGTGGAATGATTTATTAACATCACTATTTACTGAAATTGAAGAAGAATAGTAGTATATTCTCTCTGATTGATTGTTTTGTGTAAATGAATTCTTGCCGATTTTGATAGATTTCAATCGATTCAATCCATCGATTTGGAATGTTTGAACCGAACTAAAACAATCATTACCAATTTCAATTGATTCCAAATTGTCTAATGATGATAAATTCAATATTTTAGTATTATTAAACGTTTTATCACCTAATGTAATGGATTGTAGATTTGGAAGATCTATACATTACAAATATACAATATCATATCAATACCTTCAATCACAAATGAACTATTAGGAAAATTGTATGAATCACTTCCAATTGTCCCGATTTGAATAGATTGTAATTTTGGTAGATTCTTCAATTCAAATTCGCCTCCAAAATCACTGAAACTATATTCACCAATTTGAATAGATTTTAATGATTCACAATTCAATATGTGAAATGATTTTGAAATAATGCAATCTGTAATTACGGATTTATTCAATGTCTTATCCATTTTGGCTACTTTACTGCAAGTAAATGATTTCTTGCCGATTTTCAGACTTTTCAATCGATTCAATCCATCGATTTTGAATGTTTGAACCGAACTAAAACTATCATCACCGATTTCAATTGATTCAACTTGAATAAATCGAGAGAAATCAAATATTGTATAATTAATATCATTACAAGTCCAATTCGGAAGTATTATCGAAGTGATTGTTGAATCAATTGATTGAACGTATTCATAATAATAGACCTTTGGAAATAGTAATTGAGAAACATCTAAATTCATAATATAGTTACAAAAATACTTTGTATAACTGGATGTATCACATTTTTAAATGAATCATTCAGTTTGACATCTCGAAGATTTGGAATATCTAAATATAATCAATATTCAATATTGATAAATACTTTCTAATGTCAATGAACGAGTATTATAGAAACTTCCTCCAACAGATTTGATGGATGTTAAATTTGGAAGATCTACATTTAATCATTTTATTCGATCATGTTTAATACTTTCAAATGATGTGGATAGGGAATAGCGGAATGTATCATAGCCTAATGTAATGGATTGTAATTTTGGTAGATTCTTCAATTTAAAGTCGCCTCCAAAATCACTGAAACTATATTCACCAATTTGAATGGATTCTAATGATTCACAATTCAATATGTGAAATGATTTCGATTTGTCATTACCATAATCATTCTTATTATGAGTAAATGAATTGCTTCCGATTTTGATAGATTTCAATCGATTCAATCCATCAATTTTGAATGTTTGAACTGATTCAAAACATTCATCACCGATTTCAATTGATTCCAAATTGTCTAATGATGATAAATTCAATATTTTAGTATTATTAAACGTTTTATCACCTAATGTAATGGATTGTAGATTTGGAAGATCTATACATTACAAATATGCAATATCAATTCAATACCTTCAATTACAAATGAACTATTAGGAAAATTGTATGATCTACTTCCAATTGTCCCGATTTGAATAGATTGTAATTTTGGTAGATTCTTCAATTCAAATTCGCCTCCAAAATCACTGAAACTATATTCACCAATTTGAATAGATTTTAATGATTCACAATTCAATATGTGGAATGATTTCGATTTGTCATTTCCATAATCATTCTTATTATGAGTAAATGAATTGCTTCCGATTTTGATAGATTTCAATCGATTCAATCCATCGATTTGGAATGTTTGAACTGATTCAAAACAGTAATTTCCAATTTTTACTGATTCTATTAAACGTGAATTCGGCACTGATGCAATTTTAGTATGATTAAATACTCTATGAAAGTATGTTATAATTCGTGAATTGTCTAAATCTAGTCATTATATTATTCAATACTATGTCACTACCTTCATTTACAAATGAACTATTAGAGAAATTGCATGATGTGGTTTTAAATTCACCAATTTGAATAGATTGTAATTGTGGTAGATTCTTCAATTCAAATTCGCCTCCAAAATCACTGAAACTATATTCACCAATTTGAATTGATTCTAATGATTCACAATTCAATATGTGGAATGATTTGTTGATATCACTATTTACTGAAATTAAAGAAGAATAGTAAAAAATTCTCTTTGATTGACTGTTTTGAGTAAATGATTTAGCACCGATTTTGATAGATTTCAATCGATTCAATCCATCAATTTTGAATGTTTGAACCGAACTAAAACTATCATCACCAATTTCAATTGATTCCAAATTGTCTAATGATGATAAATTCAATATTTTAGTATTATTAAACGTTTTATCACCTAATGTAATGGATTGTAGATTTGGAAGATCTATATATTAAAATTTTACATTATCATATCAATACCTTCAATCACAAATGAACTATTAGGAAAATTGCATGAATCACTTCCAATTGTCCCGATTTGAATAGATTGTAATTTTGGTAGATTCTTCAATTCAAATTCGCCTCCAAAATCACTGAAACTATATTCACCAATTTGAATGGATTTTAATGATTCACAATTCAATATGTGGAATGATTTATTAACATCACTATTTACTGAAATTGAAGAAGAATAGTAGTATATTCTCTCTGATTGATTGTTTTGTGTAAATGAATTCTTGCCGATTTTGATAGATTTCAATCGATTCAATCCATCGATTTGGAATGTTTGAACCGAACTAAAACAATCATTACCAATTTCAATTGATTCCAAATTGTCTAATGATGATAAATTCAATATTTTAGTATTATTAAACGTTTTATCACCTAATGTAATGGATTGTAGATTTGGAAGATCTATACATTACAAATATACAATTTTGTATCAATACCTTTTATATGATATAATAGTGAATAGAAATTATAAGATTCATTTCCAATTGTCCCGATTTGAATAGATTGTAATTGAGGTAGATTCTTCAATTCAAATTCGCCTCCAAAATCACTGAAACTATATTCATCAATTTGAATGGATTCTAATGATTCACAATTCAATATGTGAAATGATTTCGAAATAATGCAATCTGTAATTACGGATTTATTCAATGTCTTATCCATTTTGGCTACTTTACTGCAAGTAAATGATTTCTTGCCGATTTTCAGACTTTTCAATCGATTCAATCCATCGATTTTGAATGTTTGAACCGAACTAAAACTATTATCACCGATTTCAATTGATTCAACTTGAATAAATCGAGAGAAATCAAATATTGTATAATTAATATCATTACAAGTCCAATTCGGAAGTATTATCGACGTGATTGTTGAATCAATTGATTGAACGTATTCATAATAATAGACCTTTGGAAATAGTAATTGAGAAACATCTAAATTCATAATATAGTTACAAAAATACTTTGTATAACTGGATGTATCACATTTTTAAATGAATCATTCAGTTTGACATCTCGAAGATTTGGAATATCTACATATAATCAATATTCAATATTGATAAATACTTTCTAATGTCAATGAACGAGTATTATAGAAACTTCCTCCAACAGATTTGATGGATGTTAAATTTGGAAGATCTACATTGAATCATTTTGAATCATTTCATTCATACTTCGCATTATCAATGAACATGAAGAATCATCATTATTTCCACAAAGTGAATGTTGACCAAGTGTAATGGATTGTAATGATGGAAGATCTACATCAATCATTATATTCCAATTTATTCAATACTTTCAATTACTGTAGACAATGATCTATGGAATACAAGTTTACCTAATGTAATGGATTGTAGATTTGGAAGATCTATGCATTACAAATATGCAATATCAATTCAATACCTTCAATTACAAATGAACTAAAAACAAAATTGTATGAATCATTTCCAATTGAACCAATTTGAATAGATTGTAATTTTGGTAGATTCTTCAATTCAAATTTGCCTCCATAATAAGTGAAACTATATTCACCAATTTGAATGGATTCCAATGATTCACAATTCAATATGTGAAATGATTTCGATTTGTATATACCAATATCATTCTTTTTATGAGTAAATGATTTCTTGCCGATTTTGATAGATTTCAATCGATTCAATCCATCGATTTGGAATATTCTCACTAATCCAAAACAATCATTACCGATTTCGATTGATTCCAAATTCAAGAACCATGAAACATCCCAATCAACCAATACACAATTGTTAGTCAGTTTCAAATGCTTGATTCCAATATTTGTTGTCTGACTACCATCACCTTCATAGGTTTCTTCAATATCACTTTCAATTCCATTATACCAGAAACATTCTTTTACAAACTTGCCTGATCGATCATACACTTTTCCTCTTCCAAATCGATTATCATCACACCAATATCCTTCATATTCAATCGCTCCATTATCATGATAACTCGTTCCATATCCAAATCGCTTCCAATTGATCATTATACCCTTGTACACCAAGAATCCATCATCATCATACATTTCACCATATCCAAATGGAATTCCAAACTTGCCTTCTGCTAATATCAAGCCTTCAAATCGACTTCCATGATCCAAATCCACGATTCCTTCTACCAAACATTTTTCATTATATGGAATGTCACCAATTTGGTGATTTCCAAACACTTTCAACACTTTCTGCTCATTGAGGACAAATCCTTGATTCATAAACACTCCATTATTGAACTGCAATACTACACATTCTCTATTACTCTGTATATATGAAAGCCAGCCATTTGGTTTCCACTCAACGTTCACCTGCCCCTGTACATCTTGAATAATAGAACTATCAATGAAGAAGTTCCCAAGAGAAGAATTAACAAGATCCATCATCGCTTGCATTGAAATAAAAAATAATGTATAATATCGGGAGAAGTCAATCGATTTGAAATGGATACAAGCACGTGACGTGTACAATTTCAGAGGATTTATGATTTATTTCATATCTATTATTGTTTTACCGCTAGGAATGACTATTAATGTAATATTCTTATAATCTGTAGTTTCTCTGTAAAAAAAGATACGAACTAGCTATTCGAATGAAATGATGATATTGTATTAGATATACAATATTCACTTTATCATACAAGAGATTTTCGCTAGTTTGAGTATTATACATTATTTCAAAAGTTAATGCCTTTTTTGTATTATTTCGAAAATGTGCATTGTAACTATTATCTGGCCTCATTAATTATTGATTCTTTTAACACGTTTTTGTAGGTACCTGAAAACCTTATCAGATGAAATAACCATTACACAGAATATAGATTTCAACCAATATATTGCTTATTAGTACTCAAATGAGAATTAATCTCCACATGACTCCATCTATTAAGTCATGTGTCAAGAATAGTATGAAGTGTTTATACATTTTATATATTTGTATTCTATTCTCCTACATAGATTCTTTAATAAATAACATGATTATTTAAGAAATACTGATTAAATAGTTTCTACGAGTTATTTTGTGGTATCTTTGTAGTTTTCTAGATATGACACAGCAATTCTTCACTTTTTGCAAATGATGTCTTGCTTTTTATATCAATCCTACTATTGGTACAACAACTAACCTCTTTGTACGAAATCTATTTTGGTGCAATTGTTTATCAATGCTATTACCCTCAAAAGCTGTTAGATGAATTACACTTCCTAAATTATATATGAGTACATGTAAATAAAATGTGTAAAATAGTTATTTTGTGCGGTCGTTCGACTTTCCTTAAAATCTTGCATTATTATTATTTCAAGTGTGAAAGTAAAGTGTCTCTACTGTACTTATTGCTGTTAAGTATAGCAAGAAAAATTAGCCATTAATCAATATTAGGCAAAAACTACATCATCCCAACACTTTCTTTGTATAGCGTGCATACTACTTCCCATAGGTCCCTATTCTTTCTGTGTCAAATCTCTTTATACGGACTCCTTTCAAAACCTTCCCTAATTCACCTTACAACGTCATATCAATTCAGTACCCTTCACAATCATTTTTATACAATACCAATTCACCATAATATCCCTGTCTCCCCTCGACTCTTTCTCATTCCATTCTTATAGATAAAAACAACTCTACACACCCCGAAATCATTCACTCCTTACTCCCAATTCTACACAACCTACAATCTCCTTCTTCACATCATTTTCAACAAACAAAAATAGATCGAATCGATTTCAAATTGGAATACACAGGCCTCTTCTTCACCTCCGTCATTTGTTTCATTATTATCAATAGTTTCTAAATATCAAATTAACCCAACTGTCCATACCATTTTCAGGAATTTCTCCGTATGCCTTGAGCTGTCGGGCTTCATCAGGAGTGTACTTCATGATAATATCTGCTTTGTCGTCTTGGAAATCACGGAGTCCAATCAATACGATATCTCCAACGCCGATCCACACCTTCGAATAATGTCCAGGTTGTATTCCCTACCTTCTTTCGCATTTTTCCACGGATATTGCAAAGTCTAGTTTTTCCATCGAAGCAGTAACATTCCACGCGACCATTTCCAAGCATCTTGTTCACTCGTCCATATTCTAAATTAATTATCAGCAGACACACAAAATTCTTACCCTGACCATCTTCCTTAAACTCGAGCTCTCTCTTGTAATCCTCATTATCATTCTTTCCCCTCTTACGAGTTTTACCACCTTTTCCTAAAAAATTATATTTTACAACTATCCAGTACCCGTAGCTTTAGGCATTCTTACAGCGAAACCAATTCTAAGGTCTATTGTCTGGAGATTGATAATCAAGGATCACTGTACATATGAAAACAAACAGACTAATAATGCTGAAGAATATCAAATAGCAAAGCTACAAGCAGGCATCCGCAGACTACTGCCGAATAATTTGAAAAAGAACAGCGTGTAAGTGAATCCTCAGCCAACGATGATCTCACTTCGATTTCATAATTCCGGTCATTTTCCACACGCAAAAGAATCACATCTTCTATCGAGTCCCATCCTTGCTGAATCCACTACATGTCACATTCAATCTGCTTCTACTCTATAACTGCGAGGATCTAGAAGAATCTGCACTGATACAACACAAGAAGAGTGCGGCCTTATCACACCGCAAAGCGGCTCAATTCGATACCACTTCTTGCACACAGTATTGCAACGAGAAACAAATTGAAAATACGCATTGCCGCTTCCGCGGTTCGTAAGGACAAGTTCGCGCTTTTGGACTTCGTTTATGCGAACTGCATTAAAAGAGACGCACTCTGGAATGTCTAGTTCGACAGAGTCGAGATCATCAACAATCAGCCTGCTTCGGATCTGATTTGCAATGCGATTCATCTCCACAGATTTATACTTCTTGCAAGGAATGCAGATATCGGCAACCACGGGCTTGTGATCACTGCATGTCGTTTCGAGAACGCTCGAGTAATTCTTTACAGTGCAATTACCTCGAATAAGAATTCGGTCACACCACGCAGGCTCCTTGGAAAGATTGTATGCATTCCCTCCTTTTACATACTTGTAGGTTGGAGGGAATTCTAATTTTTCCTCAGAATACCCTTGAAATGCTTTGTGACTCGAGATCGATCGAGAAAGCTGATCATACTGCTGAATTAGCTCGGGATGATCATCAAGTTGTTTGAGGAGCTCTTGCAACGGCAAATTGCAGTCCAAACGATAGTTGAGATCTCCCATCTTTTATTTTATCTCGAAAAAGAGTAAGTACCCAAATTGTAATGTCCGATGGAGGAAGATCGATTTCCTGAGTAATCCTACGGATAGACTGTTGTTGAATAATGGCTACTTGTGGAACTCGAGGTTTCTGGTATGTTCATACTGCTTATGTGCTGCTAAATGGGAGCAAACAAACAAAACGGGAGTTTCATCGATATGAAGGTGGATCGCTACACCTCCCTTGTTCCCAAGAAATCCCCAAAAGCCTGTGGGAACCGTTGTTGCTATTGAAAACGGAACAACGAGACATACTTTGGACATGGGAGAAGTGATGGGGACTCAATGAGGAAACAAACACAAAAATGGAGATGCCCACAAGTGTTTCAGAGGCAATGCACATGTAGGACTACTCATAACAACCAAGAATTGAGGAAACGGTCTGATAACGCGCATTGAGAATGGACTGCACAAGGTTGATCCAAGTATTCTTCCTCTTTTCGACCTCTACATTCAGTAGCACGGTAGAGATATTTAAAGGAACCATTTCTTCAAGACCTAGAACGAAGATGTCCGGAGGAAGCGAAAAGGATGTCTTCAAAAACAGCTCTATCTCCTTTTCGTTGCATTCCCCATTCACATTCCACGTTCCAAACCACAAATTGACATTTTCAGTATAGGAATATGCGGTTTCTCTATACATAAGAGGAGCAGACATTGCTCGACTCATTTTTCAATTCTGATTGAACATATTCATCCCTGATTGCCGAAATGGACTATTCGATAAAGCCGAGAACAAACAATTTGCCTTTAGGCTATATGCAGTACTGAAAATATGATTCTGATACAGAAAAGATGGTTGGAGCCAATGCTTCTCAACTCTGCCTTTAAGAAAGAGCCTTTAAAAACAACGCTTCCTTTCGTTTGTGCACGTTACTCTCCATTCAAATCTCTTAAAACTTATTAAACAAACACCAATAATTGCCAAAAACGAACTCTCTCTCCGTTATCACACTCCGTTCTGCTCCGTCTCTTCGTATTACAACCGTTCTCACGACACCTCCCGAATGGCCGTCTCGCGATATGGCCAGCTGGACAGCTACAGTCAATACAACAAAGCCAACCACCCACCTCGTCGTACAAACTCCACTCCTTCTTCGACCGACATGTTTGGATTATAGTTACTATCCACAAATCCGTAGATATAGGTCGAGCCAGATCCTCCAAGAGCGACATTTACTCGTAACATACTGCCTCCCAATGTGATTTCATAAATCGACGCTCCATCCACATCATCAATTCCTGCAATAATGATTCCAGCCTGAAGCTGATCCTTGTATTTGTAAATGATTTTATGACCCAACGTTGCCGCGTTTCGCACAATAGGGTTCATTCCATATGTGGTTCTAGCTATCAAAAGATAAAAACAGATATACTTGAAGAAATCAAGGTTCTGTCGAATAATATTGCCAATCTTCTGCGTATCTGCAGCGGAGCCTGAACGGCACATGAAGATCCGGTCGTCAATTTGCTCGATTTTGTTCGTTATGCGATTTGCAACATAAGAGCCTAACACATTCATTAATATCTCTATATCACACCTGCTGAACTGCGAGAGTCTGCGCCCATGATTACACAGTCTCCCAGAGCAATAGCAATGATTGTAGTCTAAGTATGAACCTTTTAAGAAAAGTCAAACTCCTGTAGAAACTTCATTCTCATTTCCCTCGAAATGATTCATTATTCGTTCTTCTACCTTAAAAAATATGCTGAAAGAAGTCAATCTTAAAGTTCGGTGATTGACAATCTACGGTCCCAATAGTGAGGGAAATTTACCTTTTTATTCCGGAATATATGTGCGAACATGTACGTATTTGTCATTTCTTCACAAAGCTAGGGGTGATCAAGAAATAGGAAATCAAAAGCAGTCAGCAACACACTCATAGAGTTTGTAGAAACTGAGTGTACAGATTGTTTTCCTTCGTCTTTATTTGGCTTATTATCATCTCCTATATCTGCTTTTTTGACTGTAAAACATAAGCTACATCATTGCGAAAATGTACTGTGGTGCTTGTATGTTAACGATCATTTTTATTGTTTTCTTATGTCTTATCCATAGAATTATTTGTATTCTCAAAAATCTTAATTTTGTTCTTTCGAAAGAAACTCCCATATACCTTTTCCATCAGTATTAATTCCTACAAGTATGAAATTCTTTGCTGTGATTGCACTTCTTTCGCGTATTGTTGTGTGAGAGTTTGGTAAGGTGTAGTTGTTGCTGCCGAGAATTGTGTGGCAACTGATGGATTTGAAGAAACTGAGCCTGGCCATCTTGCCTACGCTTTTTGTGGTGAGGGAGAATGGGGTTACAAAGTCAGCCTTTGCTCGAATTCCATTAATCCGACTTGGATACCTATGGAAGATATTTGTACTCCTAAAAAGAAGCTTATTCACCCCAACTTTGGTCTTAACTATCTGGAGTATTCTGTTAAGGTAATTTTCTGAAGGATTGATTAGGAATAGGCTGATGGTATGCCCCGCGAAGAGTACTCTCCGAAGGTCAACTACTTCATGTCTGTTGCCTTGTCGAGATTGTCATCTTTATTTGTTCTCCACCCTATTGACGTAACTGTCATTGATGTTTCTGGAGACGACAACTCTACGACCATGCTTATTCACCATTTGGTTGATTCCTACAACCGAACTGATCTCATTAATGTGATCACCGATTATTTTAATGATGGTAGCTTCAATACGCTGATGGCGTCCTTGGACAATGATTTCTCTTATGTACTTTTCTTTCTTTCACTTTTATTAGGTAGATTGATTTCTCTTTGGTCAAGGACACGTTCCGCTGGTCGAGCTTCAACATTTTCTATAACCCCTACTTCGATATGATCTTAGGTGTTTTGATTGTGGCCTTCATTTGGTATTGGCTGTGCAAGTTGGGAAGAAAGTGTTGTGAGAAGAAGAAACAGGAAAAAGAAGCCGCTGAGAAGTTGCTGCCGTAATTGGATTGTTTGTAGTCATACAGCCGTTTGAATTTGTGAGGGTGAAGGATAGATGGGAGTGTGCTTGTCTAAAGAGGCACGAATCTAGTTTTCACATACATCCCGCGTTGTCTGTATGCTATCGCAAAACGAAAACTACTCATTCTTTTCTGAGACAGAATAGTACAACTCCCTTGAAGAAAGAAAACGACTTTTAAAAGGACAAGAACGGCTCTATTCGTGTTTATTGTTCCACTTGAGGGATGGAAACAAAAACACTCCCTTAACTGTTACCAGTTCTTCTCTTTACATTTGGGAAGTTAATCATTATAAATAAAACAATGATAGTACTCGAGATTAATAAAAACTCGCAACACAGAAAATTTGACATATAACATTTTTCTAGATATTATTATTAACACTTCATTATTCTAATAGGTAGTGGGAGATAGAAATGTCAGCAATCGAATACGTACCTAGTTCAAACTTATCAAAGTACAAAAGCAATAAAGCAACGTCTACATACTGGACTAGCTCTATTGAATCTCTATTCCCTGTAATTATTACCAATCTTAAGGATGGACCTGCAACTTTGAAAGTGGGAGCTCCGCATAATGGCTATTCTATCGAAACACATCTAAGAAATGGAAGAATGCATGGAAAATCTATGATTCTAAACAGTTATCAAATTAGGATCGCTGAGCTCAATTTTGTTGACGATGAAGCAACAGGTGAGTGTTCACTCTACAACGAAGATGGGTTTCTCTTTTTCAGAGGTAGTCTTGAAAAAGGGGTTCGTGAAGGCAAGGGGAAAGAGTATTATCCGAATGGGAAATTACTGTTTGAAGGGTATTTTCACCAGGGGTTCCGTCAAGGGGAGGGAATCGAATACAATGAAAATGGTGAGGGTAAAGAAGCAATCTATGAAAGAGGAGTGATTAATGTGCACTTCGTTCCTTCCACAGAGTTGAAGAAATACTGGGTAGAGACAGATACAGAGAGTGGTTCCAGGGTTCTCTGTCAAATTGATGATTTGGGAAAACGTTTTGGAATTTGCTATTTCTATTTGCATGACACGATTCAGCGTGTGAGTCGATGGAAGGATGGAGCTGAGATAGAAATCCTAAAATCGTTTGACAATAACAAAATGATTGAATATTCCCATGGAGTAAAAGTATATGAAGGAGAATATGAGAATTCTATGCTTCTAAATTATTGTCGATATGGAAAGGGAATGGAATTTCTATCAAATGGAACTACTATGGTTTTCAATGGTAGTTACAGAGATGGGAAGAGGAATGGAACAGGGATTGCTTATCGTAATAATACAGTGGTTTATAAAGGATTATGGGTAAATGGGCACCGATTGTGGTGTGTCATTATGCTACATGAATTCTATGTGATTCTGTTTTTTGGCATTACGGCACTACTCTTTTTTCTATTTGATTTGCCCTTTGAATTTTGGTTTATTATTCCTATCCTCTTTATATGGAGAAGAGTTTCTCTCATTCGGTGTGAAGTTGACTGTATTTTGGCAAACCATAACTATCTAAAGAGGCATTTCATTGTGGGAAATGGATGTTGCAATTGCCAACAATCTTTGACCATCCATCCCTATTTGATAAAATCAATCGAAATCGGCAATAATTGTTTTAAATCAGTGCAAACATTCCAAATCGATGGATTGAATCAACTGAAAAGTTTGGAAATTAGATCCAATTCATTTACTTTGAAAAAGAATACTGAAGGAAATGATGAATCGAAATCATTCCACATATTGAATTGTGAATCATTGGAATCCATTCAAATTGGTGAATATAGTTTCAGTGATTTTGCTGGAGACTTTGAATTGAAAAATCTACCACAATTACAATCCATTCATATTGGGACAATTGGAAGTGATTCGTTCAATTTCCCTAATAGTTCATTTGTGATTCAAGGTATTGATTTGATATTGAATATTTGAATGATGCATAGATATGCCTAACCTCAAATCCATTATTTTGGGTGATGGGGCATTTAATAGTTCGCTATCAACTGTTATCGAAAGTATTGATGAATTTGAATGAAGTGATTGGATAGATCTCCCGTCGTTAGAAACCATTCTACTCGGGAAATCTGCACTTAATGGGACTAACAATGAATCCTGTACATTGGTAATGCGAAGTATGAATAACATGATTCGATATGATTGAGTGTAGATCTTCCAAATCTTACATTCATCAGGTCAAATGGAAATAGTTTTCGGAATCCTCGTTCAGTTACCTTGGAAAGTAGCTTTGAAATATTGAATACGGATTTAATATTTAGATATTCCCAACTGTGGCGTTGCAAATCTGCCTAATTCCTTTAGAATAACGCATTCAGTATCAGCTATTAGTATTTTTATGCCTAAGCGTTGGGTAATTTCTAGATGTTTCGATACAACTCTGTCATTTCATCAATACAAGGAACTAATCTACCAACTGTTTGTGCTCAAACAATAAAACTTCCCTTAATAAACTTACTTCTTCTCTTTTCGCTGCCTAATACAAATAAACACGAAACTATCCATCATGTATCATCCACCACTCCTACGCAACAACTAATATCACTGTCACGATAATGATAAGAATTCCAATTACCACATTCGTATCAATCGGAATACCCTTCGGCACATCTGCTTCATTCTTGCTCGTATCGTCATTCACAACTACGGAGCTCCAGTCAAATCCTCCTGTCACCACAATCGAAACTGGCTGCATCGAAGTACTCAAACTTCGACGAGTCACCTTCACTTGAATCTTGTTCGATTCTTTTGTCATCGATTCCACCGTCTCGGAATCCAGCAAAATCACTTGCACATTGTTATAGTCGTCAGGACCATCCAATCTATGCTCGATGCTATCCAATGCAACTACTCGTTCGGATAGAAATAGGTAGTCGAGTTTGCAGAGTTTACGGTCAATCCAACAGTGTTCACAATGATAGTCTTTGATTCGGAGGAGGCTGGAGGATCTGTGTAGGCCATGGTGACTTTGAAGGGTATTGAAGAGTGAGGAAGTGAAGGAACCAATCATTTTTTTCCTATTATTGGATTTCAAGGGATATGTTCGTAATCGTGAATTCAAGTGTGAACGATTCCTTCTTCTCGTTGATCTGCCCATAATACAAAAACAGTTCGAAATCGCTCTCGCCATCATAATGAAGCACACGATCCAGCTGCACTCGACCATGACCTTCATAATAGAAGTGGTTTTTATTGTGGGGGAAACATCTCATAATAATATTGCAGTATCCTGTCGTAGGCTGTCCACTGTGAACCACCATCGCTTTGATCAGCGAAGCTCGCACGTCCAGCTCTTCTATCCATCATTTAAAAACCCCATTCTCACGATTATGATAACTCTTCTCCTTCAGATATTGCGTGATCAAAGCCACGATTCCAGCCACAGCGGGTGTGGCCATCGAAGTGCCCTGCATCTTCACCACACCGCCATGGTTATCGCAGTTCAATCCGCAATCCCATCGGCTCAGAGACTTGGCTGAGAACTGATCGCCTGGAGCCACAATATCGGGCTTGATGGTGCGTTTGTTTGGATTTCCGCGCGAAGAGAAATACGTGATGTAGTTCTTTCCGTCATGATTTCGCTCGGAATGCGTCGCTCCGACAGTAATCACGTTCTTGGAAAGGGCGGGCGATGTCACCGATCCGAGTCTGCATGGTTATCATTCGTTTATTCAATCAATCAGTACCCTTCCTCTCCTTCATTGCCAGCTGCGAATAGAATGAGCATGTCGTTATAATCCCAAACGAACTTATCCGTCTGAGAACAGAACGAATCATATTCATAGTCTTCCTCCGATCCCCAGGAATTCGAGTTGATACGCGCTTTGTTTCGATATCTATTCATGACCACGCCTTCACTCAAATCCTACAGGGTCTTCATATAATATCGGTTGTAAAGATCCTTAGGAAGATACAAATCCTCATCGCTATCTTCCAAATCGACAAACAGCAACTTCGCTTCCTCGGCGATTCCCTATCTCTCATCCCTCCATCATCATCGTCATACATTGTACAGAGCATCTGAGCTGTTGCTGCTGTCATACGCCTTTCCGGCGATCGTTCCACACACGTGCGTGCCGTGGCCATCCGTCGAAGTCTCATCTTTTCCAAAGAGAGGAACATACAGAGAGATCTTTCGATGATCGGAAGATCCACTCTCGGCTCTCTTCACTGAATGATCGGGGTCGTAGAAATAAGTGCTCTTCCAATCGATCCCAGAATCACCCACTCCAACGAGCACGTTTCGACCGTTCAGATTATGGAGTTTGTAGATCTTTGACGACTCGCCAGATGCGTCATAATAACCATCTGCCAAGGATTGTCGAGCATAATCATTGAGTTGGCCTACAAATGAAAGAGCGAGTGAACTAGGAACGCAAATGGTGAAGTTTCCACTTGGGTTTCAATGATACAGAGAGAATATCCTTCTGGGAAAGGAGATTCGCGAGAGGAAGAAGAGGGCGAGCGAGAGAACTCTTCACCATCTTCTGTGATGACTGCAGTTGTTGGGATGAACTCGAAGGTCTCAATATCTTGAGAGATCGAGTGATAACAGCAGGGGCTTAACATAAACAAAGCAAAACTAGGTTTACTGTTTTCGTCTTCATTCGGATCTTGGTTGTCAGCAAAATTCAGATTGAGTAATTTCTCTTCAGAGCTGGAAATACTCGAAATCGACAAGGACACGGCGGTGTGGTTCTTAGAGGCCTTCGATAGAGCAGTCACAACAGACGGACTGACTCGTGCTAGAAGAGGAATGGGAGCATAAGAGTCAATCATAGACTTGAAGGGATTTCTGTTCAAGAACGACTCTTTGCAGGTCACAATCACACACTTGTTTTGTCCTCCAACGTACTCCATATTTTGATAGCCAAAACTCGTCAGAAAACCAATTCTTTTTGAAAAATCGGCCACTGTATAGCCATCCTTTAACATTACATAGTAACGGTCGTAATCACTTGAGAGTGCACGATCTTGGTTGGAAGACATATCACGGACCTGGCTATGAAAAGAGGAGTGCTTCCTTACATCAAACTCGTCTTCAATGTCCTCTTCTGGCAAAAATGAAAGGGAAGTGGAGAGATGTGTCATGAAAGACGACACAAGGGGCTTAGAAGCGTTCGCCATACGAGAAAGTAAGAGAAGTACAAGAATATAAGAAAAATACTTCATACCAAAAAAAAGATGAAGTATATATATATGTTAATTACTGGACTAAACTGATTTCTCGAAGCAAAACCTGTTCTTCTTGTTTCTCAATAAAGTGTCTATATACTGGGGAACCTCTGGAAGCTCCTTAATTTCGAACGAAAGAAGAAAAGGAATGTTGGAATTCCACAAATCGACAGTATTTTTCCTTGCTCAGAAATGGATAGTGTGGAGGAAAGAAAAAAGAGGATTGAAGAGCTGAAGCGTAAGAAGGCCGCATTGCTTGCTCAAGGGAAGACTGCTGAGAGTACAAAGCCAACGTAGGCAGTTGCTTTCATATCATTAACATAGTATACGATTTAGAAATTATACTCCACGAGATGAAAATTTGAAAAAGAACGTAGATAGCGTTATTGTCGATACAAAGCCTCTTTCCTATGAGGAAGATTTGAAAGATGCAAGCAAGATGCCCGGAGTAGGGTAGGTTTAGCATAGTAAGGTTTTAGAAGTCTGATGAACTGAACTTGGCTCCGAAGAAGCCAAATTGGGATTTAAAGCGTGGTATCGAGCACAAATTAGATATTCTGGAAAAGAGAACCACGAAAGTACTAAATCGCCTTCTTCGTTTGATTTATTATCGACTTTTATGAATAGGAGAAAAAATAGAGCGGGAAAAGGAGGAAGAGGAGGAGGAAGAGGAGGAGGAAGAGGAGGAAGAGGGTGAAGAGAACAATTAACAAATAATAGTATCACGTTAAATAAAATATCATATACTTTGTGTTGTTTGTATCAAAGCGACGTTTCTCGGAATTGTGTTGAAACCCTTATGCTTTAAATTTTGTCAGCATTTTAAAATAAAATCGACTCAGAATAGTGTTTTGCGCCATTGTTGCGTAGTTGATGCTAATATATTGTGTCAGAATATAACCGCGGTTTCATAAGTTCTAAAATGAAACACATTTTTTCAATTTGACAGACGGATTTAGGGTTATCTCGTTTTTCACAGAGTTAAATACATTTCTCTCGTTTTTTTGTATAATCAGTTTTGTTGTATTTTATGCCTGTCACAGCAGTACCCGTCAGTGATGGCGAAGGTTCCAAACCTCATAATAAGAAACGAGTTCGTTTTGCCAGTGAGGTCAAAGCCTCTTCTCGCCTCGTTGTATGCTTATTGTTCTGGCTGTGTTTTAGTCTCAACCTGGTTCTCTTTCTCTTAACCTATGTGATCTGCTAACTGCTGCCTCGGTTGGAGACTCGCTTTCTTTAGATTTTCTCTCAAATCATGCCTTCTCAAGGGGGATGACTGGGCTGATGCTCGCCTCTCGTGAGGGGAACGAAAGTGCATGTAAACACTTAATTTCTTATGGTTGCCAACTGGACTGTCAGGATTCATGTGGCTATACCGCATTAATGTATGCTTGCCGTGAGGGTCACCTACCGGTGGCTCGTGTCCTTCTCCTCGCTGGTGCAAATGCTTCCCTTTCTACCCCCTTTGGGTACAATTCTCTTTTAATCGCTTCTCTGAACGGGTTTAGTGATCTTGCTTCGCTCCTCTGTTCTTATGTTAATCCAAACGTGACCGATGTGGACGGGCTTACTCCCCTTTCCTGTGCATGTAAAAACAACCATGCGTTAACTGTTTCCGTGCTTCTGGACCACGGAGCCGATCTCTCGCTCTCTGATTTGCAGGGTCGTACCCCTGTTATGTACGCTATCGATAACAATAGTTTCGCAGTACTGGACCAACTTCTACAACGCAACATTTTCCTGGAATACCACAATCCAAAACAATTAGGCGTTGTATATATCGCCGCTTTGCGTAGCAACCGATATCTTACCGAGTTTCTTGTTCGATCTCCGCTGTACATCGAAGAATTTCTTGACGATTTAACCCGCTTTCCGCATGCTTCCACCGCGTTTTTCACCGAATATGCCGTTTATGGGGCGATTCGGCAGCGCTGTTTGGAGCCAGAACTGCTCGCTTCCGTGCTGATGGAGCGAGCGAAGAGCTCTGCAATGCTGCTGATAGAGCAGTATTTGCGAGGGCGCACCGCGATGCATTTATGGGGTCTTGTTGAGACCTGCGCGTGGTGTTTGCAAGTTTGTAAGATTGGTTGTGGGGCGGAAGGAGCAGCCGAACTGCAAGAAATGGAGTTCTTTTGGCGATTTGTGGAGCGAGTCGTGAGAGCGTGTGCCAATAGTGTTGTTAGTGAATTGAAAGTGGAAAGAAAGAATGAACGTGAGAGCGATTTAGTTGATGCTCCGAGCGATCTTGATCGCGAAACGGAGAATGACATGAATCATGAGCCGAATTGTGTGTGTGATCAGTCCTGCAAGGCAAAGGGTGAAATGAATCATACCGTTAAGGCAGAGCAATCCATTGATCACCATTCCAACGTTGTTGATCGCTCTGTCGATCCTACCATCGAACTTCATCATGATTCTGTCGACCATTCTATCGAACTTCATCATGATTCTGTCGATCATTCCATCGAACTCGATGATTCTGTCGATCATTCCATCGAACTCGATGATTCTGTCGACCTTCATCATGATTTCTATCCTGCCTCTCATTCGAAAGTGTGCACCAACGCCAGCCTGGTGCCTTCTTCACTCCTGCAAGTGAAGCTACTGTTCTTCTTTCTCGAGCTCTACTGTCTCGGACTGTCCGTGCTGCGTGCTAGCTTTGCTAAAAGACGAACGACCTATCACCCGTCGTCTCGTTTACTGACGTTTTTTAGTGCTAACAAGCTGTTTCTTAGGTGGGGACGGAGAGGCTTTGTGACGTGTAGGATACTTGTAGCAAAATATTCTTCGATTTCGAAGCAAATGGTGTACTTTGCGAACACATTCACCAAGGTATTTTTATGTTCTTCTTCTTCTTCTTCTGTTGATTCTTGTTATGCGCTCTAAGTTCGTCCCTATATGGAACGCGAACGGGAGCTAACTTAAGTTTGGTGTACTCTCTTGTTTGTTGCATACTTATTCTTGATCGCTCTCTACACCGAGCTTTTTCTGCTTTTCAATCGCTATGCTGGCTGCTGTTTGTAGGAGAGCAGGAGCTCCTCTAGTGCGTCGTTTTGATTCTTCATTGCGAAACGTATCGTTTTTGGCGCTCTATGGAGTGAAAAAGAGTGGAAAAGTGTTTCAGACAGATTGTTTTGGTGGAACAATGCAAGTTCGACGATTTGCATCTGCAAGCGAGCCAATGTCAAAAGGAAGAGAGATGATCGCTACTACAAGTGTAAAGTCTATTGTTGATAACTCTTCCAGCTGGAAATATGGACATCCAGACTATTCGCCCATTCCTGTATTATCCAAGGAACAAATATCACAAATCACTACAGGAACGGTTGGAAGCAAAAATCTAAACATTACCGAGCGCGACCTTCTGGAGCTCGATACTCTAGCTCAGAAACTGACCTCAATGTTGGAAGAACCGTTTGATGAAGGCATTCTCATGAATCTGAAAGACTACAATGTCGATAAGTTGTTCAATCGTGTCAAGGGAACCTTGCATGTGGACGATGTTCCTGCAACGATTAAGGCGATTCGTGTTCTTTCTGCCCAGAATCGCGTGGAGGACGCTCTCACCCTGTGGAACATATTAAAGCAAAACCCTCATCATTGTACCCTCTTTGCTTGGACTGCGTATCTCAATACGTTGTGTACGCACAACAAATCAACGCTGGCTCGCCAAGAACTGAAAGAAATGGTTCTTTCGGGCGTTTCTCCCGACCAACATATTTACGGCGTGCTTGTAAACGGCCTGGTTTTAGAAGGGAAGCTCAACGAAGCCTTCTCGGTCACGCGAGAAATGTCCGAATCAGGTCTGCGTCCGAACAATATCATCTTTTCCTCCCTCATCTATGGCTGCATCAAAAAGCGGCAGCTCGCTCGAGCCAATGAGACCTTCGATCTCATGCGAAACTACATTGAAGAGCCCGATTCGATCAGTATCGCACTGATGATCAAAGTGTCGGAGCTTCAACACAACACAGAGCGAGCCATTCGATTCTTTGACAGCCTGGACGTGCATCAACAGCTTGTCACTCAGGGCTGCTATCATGCGATTATGCACGCATGTGCTCGAAGCTGGCGCTATGATGTGATGGCTTTCGACTATTTCCAGAAGATGGAGGTCGCAGGCATTGCGCCATCCCTCTCTTCTTATCACATTTTATTGGAAGCATGTGCTCAACGCGGAGATTTCGTTCGAGCGAACTCCGTCATGGTTCAGCTTCAAGAACGAGGCTTCAAACCTACATCGGAAACGCTTTCTCTGCTTCTTATGGTGCTCGGAAATGCTTCAGGGAACGGCCTGGCGCTTCCAGAACATCCAGCAGGAAATCGAAGATACACACGCGAGGAATACGAAATGTATTTGAAGGGACTGCCAGTGGCTATTAAACGCGATCGACTTGCCTATGTGCGAGACAGTCGAAGAAAAGCGATCGATGATGGATTGGGAGAAACCGAGGAAGAGGAAACGAGTGGAGGAATGTATGAAGCGGAAGGAAATGAAAGGAGTGGAGAAGAAGAAATGGGAGAGGAATCGAATTCTAAGAATTCGATCAATCCGTTGAATCCTTTGTCGCAACTAGAAGAAACGGATATGAAAAGCATCGAAGCTTCCAAAGCAGAATTGCTTCAGAATGCAAAGCAGGCTCTGCAGCGAGCAACTCCCAAGAGTGGACTCAGCCAGGGTCTTTCACAAACCGAAATCGACGCTGAAATCAATCGAATCGAAGGGAAATCTGGAGCTCCCCAAGTCCAAAACCCGATCGATGAGATTGTAAAACGCACCGAAGAATTGGTGGCGGAGAAGTTCTCGGTACAACCGATGAACGCAACGGATGCTTCTGTTGCTGCTTCGAATCGCGAGATCGTAGATAAAGCGTTGAAGGAAATGAATGAACGGGGTTTGATCAGTCGAAATGCGAATATGGATTTGCTTCGAAGTCGCGAAGAATCGATCGTAGAGCTGATGCAATTAGAAGAAAAAGGCCGATCATTGTTGGTAGAGGCGTACAAAGCGAAGGGAGGCGATGAAAAACACATTGATTACGCGAGTCCTCTCTGGAAATCATGTGTCGACGATGTGCTAAATCGCGATGTTTGTTTTGTTCTTTTCGAATTCATTCATAGCCGTCTCTCAAGCAGAGCATTCAAAACATGGTGAACGTGAAAATGGGAACCGTTCTCCTCACCGGATCCTCTCTTTTAAAGCAAAAGGAACGTGCGGATGAGCTCTTCGTCGAAGAAGTCCGCTTCCTTCGCTCCTGCTTCCTCGAATCGCCAGAGAAAGCAAAGCAGCTCACGCAGCTCCGCATCGCCAAACTCGTAAAGCCGTCAATCCTCGAGAACTACGAGATGATTCGCGATGTGGAGCCGGATATTCGCTATCAATCGGTTCCTTTCCTTCTCTTTTTTCTCAGTGTAGCCAAAGCCCAACGTGTTCGCTCTGCGTTGTCCCAATCGCGTTCAAGATCTTTCCGCGTATTGGGACCATTTATACGCTCAAGACGCCTCCGTCCCCGCGTTGAAACCGTATTTAGCGCGGGAAGGAGAACGAATTTGGCGGGAACTGCTTCGCCAGACCGACGAAAAGCCTTCGCTGGTGCATCTGAATAGCTATTTGGGTTTGTATACGAAGTCACTCTTCTTCAATCGCGCCAAATCCGTGTTCCAATCCATCGAGGTTTGCTTTGCGTTCGCTTTCGAGTGTAGAGCTACGGGCAAAAACCCGATCGCATGTCGTACCACCTGCTCATTACGATGTACGCAAAGACCAAGCACGTGACCGACGCGGCGCAGCTGCTTCGCGAGATGCAGCTGAATGGTTTGGTGCCTGCGCCTGAGACGTACGGCGAAATGATTCTGGCGCTGAGCCGCGTGGGGAACGTGGACCAGGCGCTGAGCGTGCTGACGGACATCAAGCGACGCGGCCTGCCGTTCCCGAAGGAGAGATACCTGCGACCGTTGCGAATGGAGCTGAATGTGGGGGTGGAGGAGAGGAATGAAGCGTAGAGATTGGGAATGAGCGATCATCCGAGCCTGCCGGAAGACAAAGAGAAGAAATGGAGGAAGGAGTTCCGCGAAGCGACGCGGGAGAAGTCGAGGAAGAGCAATTCGCGCGTGCAGCACGCAGCCAATGCGAAGTAAACGCGGGAAAGAGTGAAGAACAAACAAGAGAAGAGTAGATAAAACGCTTCACACAAGCAAAAGTCCATTTAATTCCTGAAACCGAATAAACTTCTTATTCGCTGCTTTTGCTTTGGCTCACAAACACGTTGTTTTTTTATTATTTGATGCTCAACAGCGGCGTCGACTCCACTTCCGCCTCGTGCGACGACCGCTTATTCAGCTGTCTCCCGACGCACTTCAGCACCTCATCGATGAGAATCACCGGGAAGGAGAACGCCAGCACCAGCTTCCAGTCGTGGAGCGTGAGCGGCGCGACGGAGAACACTTTGGCCAAGGGCGGGATGTAGAGAATGGCGAAATGGGCGACGAACGAAGCGAGGATGGCGGCCACGAGATAGAGATTGCGATGAGGCGGGACGACGAGGAGGGAGCAGTCCTCGGAGAGCGCGTTGAGCGCGTTGAACATCTCGATGGTGACCAGAACGGTGAGCGAGAGCGTGGAGGCGACGACCTTTCCCTTCTCGAAGTAATCGCAGGGCTGGGCGAAGCCGCCCCATCCGTCCAGGGAGAACTCGGTCCACGCGCGGCATTTCCCGTGGCCCATGAGCTGGGCGAGGGAGACGAGGGGATGGGCGTCGGGGGCGCGGTCGAGCACGTACCAATAGACGAAGATGCCCACCGTGGCGACGCCCACGTAGAGCCCGATCACCACGTAGCGGAAGAACACGAAGGGCGTGATGAGGCCTTCGTCGCGGGCGCGCGGCGGACGCGCCATGATGTCGGGCTCGGGCGGGTTGAAGCCCAGCGCGGTGGCCGGGGGCCCGTCGGTGACGAGGTTGACCCAGAGCAGCTGGACGGGGGAGAGTCCCTCGGGAATGCCCAGCATGGCCGTGAAGAAGATCGAGGCGACCTCGCCGATGTTGGAGCTGATCAGATAGCGGATGAACGCCTTCATGTTCTGGTAGATGGACCGGCCCTCCTCGATCGCCGCCACGATCGTCCGGAAGTTGTCGTCCACCAGCACCATGTCCGAAGCCTCCTTCGCCACCTCCGTCCCGCTCACCCCCATCGCCACGCCGATGTCCGCTTGCTGCAGCGCCGGCGCGTCGTTCACGCCGTCCCCCGTCATCGCCGTGATCTCCCCCATCTGACGAAGCAGACTGATCAGTTCCTTCTTGTGCACCGGCTCCGAACGCGCGAACACGCGACCCCCATGACCCGCCAAAATCCGAAGCTGCCGCTCACGAGGGAGTTTCATGAACTCACGCGCTATGTGTCACCGAAACGTGGAAACGTGGAACCGAGGAAACTCTTCTGGGAGATGTCTTCGGAGGGCTCGAAGATGCCCACATCGCGCGCGATGGATTCCGCCGTGACGAGATTGTCGCCGGTGACCATGAAGACGCGGATGCCGGCCTTCTTGCACAGCGCGATGCTGTCGCGGACTTCGACGCGTGCAGGATCCTTGATGCCGACCATGCCGAAGAGGCAGAGATCCTGCTCGATGGCTTCGAATCCGCTGATGTCGAGGAGCTTTCTATGGATGGAGCGAGGAAGGGATTGAAAACTTGTGTGCGGGATGGTGAGGACCGTTGTAGGAAGCCAGGTCGCCCAGCTCGAGCTTGCCGGCCATGGCCAAGCAGCGAAGCGCTTTGGCGGACATGGAGGTCACCACGGACTCGAAATGGCGACGAAGCTCGGGAGTTAGCGGCAAGATCGTTCCGTTCTATTGGAAATGAGGCGTGCAAGACAGAGCGAACCTCCGTGCAGAGCGACGTGCAGCGAGCCAGAATGTTCTCGGGAGCGCCTTTGACCAGGAGAAGGTTGTGTCCAGACACGTTCTGCGAGTGAAAAAAGCGCCGATTTTTGGACTTTGGGGGCACAGATGACCGACATGGATTTGCGAGAGCGCGTGAACTCGAGGGTGGCGAGCACGTCGTAGCGGTCTCTCCAATATCTTGTTGCGATTTGGCACCGCAAAGCCGGGTTTTGTTTCATGGCGTTCACGGCGTGCATGTCCTTCCATTCATTCATTTCCGCTGCGTTTACCACGTCCGCGTTCGCGGGCAGACCCAATTTCTCCACCAGCACTTGCAGCGCCGCCTCCGTCGGCTCGCCCACCGCTTTAAACCGCATTTTCTGCTCATCGAACTCGATGGCGGCGTCATTGCACAGCGCGCAGACCTTCGCGACGTTGCACAATCCCACGTCTTCTACGCGCCATCGCCCCAACTCCCCATTCCTACGCGTATCGAATCGCTTCAACTCGCTAATGCTTCCCTCCGGGTTGTACGACACGCCGTCCACGTTATGCAGCACCGCGTGTCCGTCGTTCGCCACATTCACCAGACTCACCACGGTCATTTCGTTCGTCGTCAGCGTCCCCGTTTTGTCCGAGCAGATCACCGTCGTGCAGCCCAGCGTCTCCACCGACGGCAGCTTCCGCACGATGCAGTTCCGACGCGCCATCGACCGCGTTCCCAGCGACAGGCACAGCGTGATCACCGCGGGGAGGCCTTCCGGAATGGCGGCGACGCCCAGCGCCACGGCCACTTTGAGGTAGTAGATGCAGCCGCGGAAAAAACCGCCGAATTCGGGATCGGTGAAGTGCCGGAAGTTCATGATCCAGACGATGACGCAGATCCACATGATCACTTTGCCCAGCCACTCGCCGAATTCGTCGATCTTCTGCCCGAGCGGGGTCTTTTCTTCGTCTTCCCGCGCGTCCATGACGGCGCGCTGGATCTTTCCGATCTCCGTGTTCATGCCGGTCCGCACCACCAGCGCTTTGCACAGCCCGTTCGCGATCGTGGTGCCTGCGAAGAGCATGTTCACCTTCTCCGACAGACCCGCGTCCTCGGCTACCGTCGCGTCGGCCGTCTAGAAATCAGAGTGGAAACGGAGAACGACTTTGGCGATCGTTTTGCTCTCGCCGGTGAGAGCACTTTCTTCCACACGCACCGTGGTGGTCTTCAGTTGCAGCACACGACAATCGGCGGGGACTTTGTCGCCTACCTGAATTTGGATGATGTCTCCGGGCACCAGCTTGGAAGAAGGGAGCTCGTGATACCACTTGCCACCACGGATACATCGTACAGTTTCACTCTGCATCTCTTTGAGAGCTTTAAGGGCATTGGCTGCATTGTTCTCTTGCCAAACTCCGATAATCGCATTGATGATCAGAATCAGGAGAATCACGAACGGCTCCACGAATGCCGTAATGCCTTCTCCGTTATTTTGAAAGATGGCTAGAACGAACGAAAAAGCGGCACTCGCAAGCAGGATTTTGATCAAATAGTCATCAAACTGTTCTAAAACGAGTTTCCACATGGGTGTAGGCTTTTCCTTGTCGAGTTCATTGGGGCCATAGTATTGAAGTGCTTTCCTGACTTCTGCCTCCGACAGTCCATTATTTATATCAGAGTGAAAGTAGGAGATACACTGTTCACAAGAATGACTATGAGCGGGATAAGTACCAGACATCACTAAGTTTCAAATTCTACCATTCAACGTACATTATTTATATTCCAGCTCGTAGTAGGAATACGAAGAAAGTCCGAACCAAAGAAAGTAATAAGAGTTCGCTCTATTTGGGTATGAAGAAAACAAAAAGAGCCCAATTACAAAAACTACGCCTTCATAGCTTCTGACTTGCTTTTAAACATACATCTTCCAACTCCGTAAAGAAGCAAACTCGCCACGAAATGCACTATCAGATAAACCCAGCCTTCGCCAAGTTCCAAGTTCTTCAAGAATGCCATTACGCCAGGCATCACAATGTGGATCGCAAACAGAACGAACTCGTTGGCCGTTGGCTTCATTTTGCCCTTGGCACACAATGCCATCCATACCGACATGCTAAACGAAATTGTAAAGATAAGATCGCAGGTGGCGTCCAGAGAGAACTGGATCCATTTATAGTCCACGTCGGGCATTCTGGAATAAAAGATCAGCGGCATCATTCGAGAGAACACTTCCTCGCCAATCGTCCATCCTATCAATCACCGAAATGGATTTCCTCCACCTAGACCAATCAACTCTGTACGAGTCGTAAAATCGAATTTGTAGCTGTTCAGAAGATACTTCAACGCCAATGCATCCACCAAATTGACAGAGGAATACAGCAGATCCTACAATGAACAAAATGCCAAGATATGAACATTAATCAACGAGAGCTCGCTGCTGGTGTCCACATTTGCCAATGTCGCAGCCATAAGCATCTACCTTCAAAAAACAATCACAATCTCACCTTCACAAGCGAAGAGAGCATATACACTCCAAGCGATTTAATAAGGCAGCCATACTGATTTAATTTGTTCCTACTCCATGAGCAAAACCACCCACATTGCAAGCTACAGGTTTGAAGCCTGGTAAAAAATAACAAGCGGAGCATACGTCAAGATAAGACAATTAATGCAGTGGAAGAATGTCATGGTAAGGAATATAGTGTGTGGAACAAAATAGGTGGTATTTTTGGAGAGAACCATCGATTCCAAAACAAGCTTCATTAAACCTTTTTGAAAGTTAACATGATTATTCCTATTCGTTGTTTTACTTGTGGAAAGGTAGAGGTGAGGAGGACCCAGGTTGACTGCATAGGTTGTTGGAAATAAGTGGGAGGCCTATTTGAATTACTTGGAAAATGAGAACATGGATGCAGCGTAGGAATGACTGGGAGGTGAGAGCTTATCGATTAGGACTGCATTGGACAAGCTTGGTCTACACCGATATTGCTGCCGAAGAATGGTGCTCACTCACGTCGATTTAATCGAGACTTTGCTTAAATACTCCAGTGAGTGCTTTATGGTCAATACTAATTCATAGATGTGAATTGCAGAAAGTAGAATAACTACACATAGTGTAAATTGAGTTTGTTGGACAAACAAAGACAATGAGGCAGGAAAGCCTATTTGGCTGGTTTTACTTGTGTTCAATGTGGCACGTAAGAAAAAATAGATAGATATTCGAAGAAGCGCTTTCGACTTCTAGAATCGCTTAAGATCGTTTTATGCATTACAAAAAGGAATCAATAGTGCTTGGCATAGGGAAATAACAAATCTGCTTAGAGAGCTGGGAATACCTTAGCAGAGTGTATTTTGCCAGTTTCGAGTGTTGTACATTTGGAGGTTGTTATGTTTCGGATTCAAAATAGGATTCTATATGTTTTTTTCACTTGTGTGAAAGACAAATGTATACATTGGAATTTATGGATAAGTAACTGTAGAAGTATAACAACAGGATTATCACTGGTGCATACATTCTATTTCAAAGTCCAAACGCTTAAGCAGACACTCAAAGGGGACAAACTAGGCTAAGTAGAGGATATCGGAATTCATGAACATATATATAACCTACGACTACGACAACAATAATGAAAATTCACCAAAGAATAAAGTAGAGACAACCAATTCTCCAGAATCTATCATATCAGGTTCCTTTTGCCAAAATATGCATTTAATACAAAGATTTTCGTTTAATATTATCGCTACAATCCATATCAATACACTCCTTGTGTTAATATTAATCACATTGCGATCCCACAAGTTCATCTTCATGATTATTCCCACGGGAAAATCAATTGTAATCTGTATATTATATTAACAAAGACCTGATGTTTGTACTCCGTTCCCTTTCACAGAAGACAGCCCCGTTTGCAGTCAATGGGCTGAAGACGATGTTGAGAAGAACCACTCCCGGTTCGATACTGTTTATGTTTTTTGATGTCTAGCGATGCAGCAGATTGCTCCCGTGGTGTACACTAAGGAGCAGCGTCCCGTGCCCGAGGATTACCGTGTCCCCGATTACATGGAGAAAATCTACACTTGGTGCTATGTGAAGCCCAAGAATGTGAAGATGCTGGACCGCCAGTTGGTCGTCCAAGCCATTCTGTTTGGTTACTTCCAACCTCTGGCCAACATGGTTTGCGAAGAGCTGAAGCCCGGTCAGAAGCTTTTGCAATGCGGTAGCACCTACGGCAAGCTCGTTGCCACGGTGTCGAAGAAACTCGGTCCCACGGGTACCTACAACTGCTGCGATATCATGCCGATCCAGGTGGCGTCGTGCAACCGCAAAATGTCGCAGTATCCTTGCAACGGAGGTTGCATCTTGGAAGATGCCGCCACGCACCATCCCGAGGAAGACAAAGCCTACGACGCTGCGTACAGACATCTACGCTCACGATCTAACGCGTAGACTGTCGTTCCTTCTGCTGCATGAAGTCCCTGATGACACGAAGTACAAGGTGATCAATCGAATCATGATGTCCGTGCCCGTGGGCGGAAAGGCCATCTTCATTGAGTACCACAAGCCTGCTTGGTACAGGTAGAAGCGATATGGCGTGTTTATGGATAGTCCGTGGAGATACATGATGCCCATTGTGTATTGGCTGCTGGAGCCGCTGGCGTTCCCCGTGTGGCATCACCAGATTACCGAGCTGGGAGATCCGGAGCTGGTGAAGAAGTTCAAGTGGCGAAAGGAATTGCGATTTATGGGTCTGTACCAGAAACTGGTGGGAGTGCGTGTTGAGGACTAAGCGTGCCTTTAGTGTATTGTTTGTTTGAGAAAGGAGGATTGTTGATTGGAAATCAGCAGGCAGAAAGAAGGAGAAGCAGTGAAATGTTTTTTGTGTGGAGATCCATGTAGAATTTGAAATGAAACTAAAAGTTATTTAGGTACATAGTTTGCTTGTCGGGATTGTATAGACCATTGATTGTTTTATACAAATAGAAGATAGTAATCTCACTGCAAAATAAACGGAAATCATTTTCAACGATTAGGAGACTATATCGCTGATATCTCAATTTAGGTAAGCTTTAACTTGTTGTCTATTTCTAGACATTTCTTGGTAGTGTTCTAATTCTTTTCAATATATTGATTATGAATTTGTTTATAGGAATAATAAACGCACAACATGGCATAACATAACACATCATAACATTGTAATTTTGATACTTATTTTTTCGATGAATGGTAATACTGTAATTTATGTTTTATTGATATCCCGTGCATAATCAACTGCAACAAATAATAATGAATGAAAAGCAGACATTCTTTTGTGTGAATATGATCAATGACTTAATCATTCGAAATAACAATGGTGCAGAATTAATCATGAAGTTGAAAACCAAAGGGGATTCTAGATTCGCCAATATCGCTGTATCAAATGAGATGATTCCTATCAGGTTAATAACAAGTGGAGGAACATACAATGGGTTGTTCCTTCTTACAATTCAAAAATGTACTGGTACATTGCTTCATGTCCTTCATACTAATGATTTTAGGTTACCAGTGAGAGTTTCCAAAATTAAGGATGCTTTGACTCAGGATGTAGTCATGTCTGTTACTTTCAATTCAGGCCAGATGGATAATAATAACTGGACAACCAATGTTAATAGTAGCACATAATTGGCGTGTATTGCACGAACATTCGTGGCCACCTTTATCGGCCATAAAAACCATCGGCTTGTTGTCAATCATGCTATTCTACCCCGGGAGTCTTGGCTTCGCCGGGAGCCGACGGCTCCCCGACTCTTCCATGCAATCAAGGCTAACCAATGCCCTCATGTCGGCAGCATACAAATTTTCGTGCAAAAGCAAATCAATTACCTACTACTATGGTAAATAAAAGCCATACACTACTCCATGTATATCTAAGGTTTACCTAGTCACAGTACGTTCGAATGAATCAACCCTTACAAGTATTGGAACCCCTACATCACTTCCATCACTGTCCTGTTCACACCCAATCAAGTCATGTTCAACAATGTAGATTCTACTAATGGGATCAAGAACTCCAATGACGAGGAACTAACGATTCCTCCTGGCTACTACACGATCGGTCAAATCATTGCCATCCTCAACACCATGACCGATACTACGTTCTCGATATCTACGAAGGCTTCGAGTTATATGTGTATTTATATCCAGTACCCACATACCATCGATTTCACCAATGCTCCGGATATTCGAGAAATCCTCGGTTTGGAAGGACAAATGGTCATTCCACCTGCTTCGTTCTATGGATCGAATGTGATTGATATCACGCGAAATCGCCAAGTGATCCAGGTTTACTCGTCTCTCGTGCGTTTCTCCGATCTGAAGATTGCCAACCAGAACAACAACCTACTCACCACAATGATCATTGACGATCCCGAGGTTAATTATCTCCGCACCGTAGAAGACATCTGCATTCCGATGATAACCCGATTCGACCGATTGATGTTCCTGTTCCGCGATATGGATGGTAATATCATGCGATTGAACGGCGAATTCGAACTCCAGTTGACGATCGAAGATGTATGTGATCAAGTGTCTTCCTCAATTCTACCGATGAACCAGTTCAGTATGATGGAAGTGTTCGGTAATACTACGAAGAAGGAAGTGAAGCTGGACAATCCTCTGTCATTCGATCAATGTTTTATCTCGTCTGTGTCACTCTATACCGATTTTGTGTTGCACAACGTACCAACCGATCAAGTGATATTAATCGATGTGGGGACATCCCCACACGAGGTGTTAATACCCAGAAGAACCCAGCAACATCACGAATGGCATGAGTGTGATCCGAGTGTACAATAGTATCAATGCTCAAACATTCGGTCTCAAGAGTCCGCTGATCGATAACCTGATTCATGTATCGATGGGACTGAACAACATGATCACCTGGAACAACCTATCAATCGATGTGATTGAACAATCGAACCTGGATTCCATTGATTGGGTACTGACAGATGCGAATGACCGTCCGATATCCTTGAATTCGAATGTGTACATCTCATTCACGATATCTTGTAAGTACAACTTCAGTAAGGTATTCAAGAAGATAGATAGATAGATAGATATCAATGTCTATCTTCTATATACATATCTGAAAAGTAATAGTTTGATTGTTGTCTCCAACAAATCAGCCAGATATGTCTCACAGCTTGATATTGGACAACTACTCATTCCCATAGAGTCCATTCTTATGGATTTCAGCTTTATCATCAACAATACTGATATCACTATTAGTGAGTAATTCTATTCATCCTAATGAGTTGGGAACCAAAGCATTTCACTTTCATCAACCAACTCAAACAGCAAGTATTATGTATACTATTCTTATTCATGCTCGTAATAGAACAACATTGTGAATCACTTTGTATCCCTATTGAAGTGTACAATTCGATCCTTCCTTTAAATAGGAGATATTCTGCATTATTTGGCAGGTGGGGGATACTATATGGGTTAGAATAAGGGATAGTATTCTCTGGCAATATAACAAACTCTGATAGGTTCAGAGTACATCAAAACGACAAAAACTGGACACCAACTATCCAAAAACCTAGAAACAGTGGAATATGAATATATCTCTATTTGTTCGTATAAAATATATTATGTATTCTACCTTATGTTGCTCAGTTCTTCAACGACACACCCACCTTTCTCACAAACTCTACTATTCGATTCTACTATACACATATCACATATTATTACTATAAATGATAACCCAAAAACTGCTTATCGCTAGCTTTTCCATTTTCATTCCTATCATCATCTTCTACATACCCTATTTCTTTCTATCCCATCTAGACTAGATTCCAAATGAATAGAACGAAAAACAAAACGCTTCCACTGGAAACAACACTCTTCGATCTATTCATTCCACAATATCCCATTTCCGCTCATCTCCTTCCACTTCACAGTAAAAACAACTCCCTCCCTATTCGAAATCTATTCTTCCACTCATACCCAATTTCAACACTATTTTCACAATTGCACAATTCCTGTCTATTTTTGAAATCATTTGTTTTACAATCAAAGCTATTAGCTTCGTCTTACTGGGTTTGAATGTATTCAAAATTTGGAATTGGACTTGTATGTCCTGTCTTTTGTTTTGTTTTCGGACTTCTATGTGTTTTTGTGTGTTGTGTTGTGGGAGTGTAAGTATTGTAGCTGGGATGGGTTCTGTCGTCAAGTTGGTGTGTTTGAAGAAACTAGTGTAGTGTGTGCTATCGTTACTTTGACTAAACTGTGTGTGTGAGATATGCATCGTGAACGCATTCAATACCATAATGGCGGTGGACCCTGGTTCCATTTTTGCTGTGTGGAGTGTGTTCCGAGTGAGGAATTTCTGTACTTCAAACTGTACAACGTGGCGAACCCATTCATGCCATGTGTGACCGCGGATACATGGATATAACTTGCAACGTGGGAGGTATCTGGTACAGGGACGACGTTCTTGCCTAGGATAGCTGTTCTGTTTCTCGTATTTTCATTTTCATATTGTGAGGTGGTAGAGTGTGGTAGAGAGAACGGATTTGCGATGAGTGAAAGGGCAAACAATGGGAGTAAGAGCTGTAGGTTTGTAGAAGCGGAGCGTGTGTGAAACTTGGGAGAATGGGACAAGAAGGCGGAGTATGCGAACTGCTGTGGGTACGGTCCTCGCCTCTGATTGATGGGAGCCGAGTGAACTGGAATGGCCAGTGGGAGCAGGCGAGTTCCAAGACGGTGCAGTTCTGCATTTGTGGGTCTGTGGAGCATGGGAAGGTGGAGGTGTGCGTGGTGCGGGCGTGTGGGAAGTGGTGGAATGGAAGAGAGGTGAGGTGCGTGGCGGTGGTGTGCCCCGCGGACGAAGCGGCGGGGTAGCCGGAAGGGCACTTGGGGCAAGTGTTGGATACGAAGTGCGATGTGGACTAGTGGGGCATGATCACGGATGGGTGCAACGCCTATCAGCAGTGGGAATCGATCGATCGATAGGGGACGGGCTCCTGCCAGCCCATCCTGCCGATGCTGCGCTGCGTGGCGGGCGATGGGGCGAGGGACGTGGCGCTGTGGACGATGGGAGATGGGAAGCAATCCACGATGTACTGCACGAGCAATGTGGGCGTGGGCGAGGTGATGAACGACCCATTCGAGCCCATGAACATCCACATCGTGTTTGAATTGGCCGAGGCCACGTTCTCCTATCCCACCACCGCGATCTCCATCTCCGACTACACCATTGCCTTCGCCTTCGCCTTCGATGGCTCCTTCCCGCGGTTCTGCGAAGGCACGCACGCTCTACATCAATGCCAACAGGTTGGTGTCCCGAAACGGCCTCCCCTTCCCCGCGGAAACCCTCATCGCGACCTTCTCGACCCGCGCCGGCGTTCGGTTGGCGTTCGGTTGGCGTTCGGTTGTGGCCTGCTCGGATTGTGGAGAGCGCGATTGGTATGAGGGAAGTGGAGTAGGCGCAGCGCAGCGCAGCGTGTCTGTGCAGATGGAGGTTCCCTGGAGCAGTGGCATCTCCGATGAAGCCCCGATGGATGGCCTTGATGGGCAGCAATGTGCAGAGCCAGTTCTTCGAGACGCGCTCCGTGTTGGTGGCGGGCGCCATTGTGAACAGCGTGATGGCCATCAGCTGGCGTGTCCGCAAGGGCGCCTCCTGGTCCGCCTTCGCGTCCTTCTCCGTCTACCGCCCCGTCGTGCTGCTCCCTCCCTCCCTCCCTCCGCGCCCGTCGTGCTGCTGCCGCCTTCGAAGCCACGCAGGTGCGCTGGGTCTGGTGGTGGTGCGAGCTCTTCGTGCAGGCCTTGGTTG